ACTGGAGAATCCCCCCATTTCTGGAAGTCCTCAACTCTCCTGGCTGGCTCTGGAGCTGATACACCCCCAGTTTATGGAGGTAGATAATACAAAAGGCATGGTAACATTTCAAGGGCTGGGGGGCACAGATTACTGCACAGGATGAAGGACAAGGCAAGATGTAGGTAACTGAGGAATTAGACATTGGACACTGAGGTCCTAAAATACTCTGACACTTGTCATGTAGCAGTCACTGAACAACCCATCTTACCACCATGCTGGGGCTTCTTCAGGCACCAACAGTTTCCCCTGGGCACTGGAGGGCATGCAAAGTACCAGTTTTCTTCCACAGGAACAACTTCCACAAGTTTGGCCTCTAACCATGTACAGCTGGCCAAAACAAAGATGCTGGGAACAAATTTTTCTGCACAGGACATAGCTTTGGATGAAAATATATTCAACTTCCTAGATAGAGATATAAACCCCAAGGCACTCCCCTTGCCTCTGCCTAGTCAAGGAAGATAACAACACATTGGAAGTTCCCTTACATTGAGCTAAACATCAGCACAATATTCTCAGTATCGTTACTAGAACTTACTGCATCTGCAGACAATATATGCTGGTATGTCTGATTCTAGAATTATTTTTGTGTTATTTTTAAAATGGTATTCTCTTAAAGTCCAAGAACAATAGCTAGGAAAGGTGAAAATAGTGGGACATAAAAGAAACTGAACTGTACTCCCCATAAATCAACCTCCCCTTTTCCAAATTACATTAGCTAATGGCAGCAACACCTTCAGGCACATTCACCTTCAAAAGCTGATGTCTCTTTTAAGTAACTCCAAGAAAGAAGGGGGAAGAGGAGGGGCAGCTGAGAAAGGCAAGCAACGCAAGGAGAATTCTAGTAGCTTCCTGTCCGTTACTGCTGTCTGCATTAGAAACTCTTTTTTTGGCATTGAGCCTGGGATTGGAGCACCAGCCTAAAATATTCCCAAGCAGACAGAATAAGGTATGTGATGGTGTCTGCACACACCATGCAGAATGTGGAACTACAGAAGTGTATTACTGTATATCTGGGTCTCTCCAATAACCTGCATTTTATATAGCTGATAGCACAGAGACACTAATGGATGAGAAAGAAGTGCCGACTTTATAGGTACAGTCAGGAACCCAGTTCCCTCAACACACAGAGCAGTGAGCCCCACAGATGTTTCATTGTGAATCCTGAACGTACAACTACAAAAAACATGTAAAATTCTAACTGTATTTAGAACTTCTTTACTTGCATCAGCATACTTAAAGCTGAATTGTAGCCTGTGTTTCAGCTAGTCAAAACCAAAATGAACCACAGAGATAAACTATTGGATTTGAAAAGAACCTGTATTACAACCGGTATAAGGGCCAATTATGATGTTATGACACAATTAAATACAATGCTAACAATGCTGTAATAAAATACACAGTTAAAATGAGACTGTTGTCTGAAATACCTCTTTAAGAGGTTTCAGACCTACTCCTGTCTGCTGAGCTATTGTGTTTGAACAGTATTAGCACTTCATGCGCTTATTAGCACAAATGCACTCATTTATATTCATAGCACAGTGACAGCTGCAATTGCTCTTCTGATGTCACCCCCAAGCCCCAACGCTAGCCTACCTTATCCTCAGCTATCTCAATCAGATCAGCCACCCTGCATTATTCTGTCCACCTGACTAGCTCTGAGCTGCCATCCCTAATCCCTAACTCCCAGATCTACTCAAATCCAGCCCAATTCCACTGCAAATTACCTGAAGCCTCCTTATTTGCTCAGAGATGCCACAAAGTATCACGATCTGCTCTGATCCATTCCAAAATCCCCAGAATCATCTCTTAACTGAGACACTTCAGCATTAGATGGGGCTTTTCCGCAAGAAAGAATATACGTAACAGCATACAAATTAAGATGCCAGTCATGTCAAAGCTCTGGAACAAATCCTGCAGCTCCATTCTTCTCCACCCTCCCTAGTCCCCCTGCAGGGTCATATATCTCTCAGTGCCAGCTCCAAGATACTGAATCATGAGATTGTTAAAGCCTGACATAGGCTTTGGCTCAGCTGGTGGTATCACTAAAAGAATTTTGTCTCTGATTAATTTCAGCCTGTCAGTAGAGGTCTCTGGGCAGAATGAAGGAACCTGCCACCCTGTATATTTCCCATTAATACAACTTCTCAGAAAGCACCTGGAGAGCCATCAACAATCTTAATTAAATCCAACCAAATTGATGACAATGAATCATTAAGAGAGTGGCTCTCTTGGGACAATGGCTGAAGAGTGCATATGAAAGGATGGTAAGGGAGGCAGATGGCTGCTTGTCTAGCATGGCAAAGCCTGGTTGGCTGTGCTTCAATTCAATTTATCCTATTCCCAGTCCTTTAGGAGTTACTTGTTCTTCCACACCAGTTAAAACTACCCTTTGCCAAGGTGCAAGAGGGGCATTTCTGCTGTGATTTTCCAGCTGCTGCACTTTTCAGGCCATTTCCAGGGAAAGAATCTCATTCTCCTTTTCCCTCTAAACATACACATCCACTGTTGTTGGCTTTCTTTCTATTTACCATCACAGAGTACCCAGAGATCCTTCAGTCTGAAAATTACTACAGTGACAGAAATAAGAAAAAGCAATTATTTTTCAGTTCTAGAAATTATCAATGTTAGGTATTAAATCAATATTCTTCAGTGAGGTTACGTGCTTCCTAGAAATTGCAGTCCTTGCTAAAGGGCAGAAAACACAAAGAACTAATTCAGTATATAAAATACTCAGCTTCTTACTGAAAATTAGGCAGCACCTGGTATCACAGTTTCGTCAGGAGAATGAGAACTTCAGCTTGTCCAATGTAATGAACTGGATTGCTAGATTTTTCACCTTTTGTCAGCCATTTGTTTCTCCTCTCTCACATCTCAGAAAGCATAAACTTCAGTGGTCGAGACAATTCTGAGACACAGTATCAGTAGAATCTATTAGTGTTTCATATGAGCAGTAGTAAAGGGATACCTATTTTTACAACATTAATGCTAGTGAATAAAGCTATCCTGACAGCTTTCAAAGCCTCCCTCACACAGTAAACAGGCAAAATGAAAGACAAGCAGTGAAGTGACTCACCCCAGTTAGTAGAAGCCTACCTAGAAGGTTTATGGAGATGATCTCGTTATCATCCACAGTATGTGGTGTCTTTGTCATGATTAGTCTCAGTTGTGTGTTTTTAGGAGTATAGGCACCTGCACTGTAAGAATTTAATTTAATTTATTTTATATTATATTGTATACACTGTTCATTCTGAGTATCATGTAATCTGGAAGGTTGTCACAACATGAGTGACAAGATCCAGCCACCACCTAGCTGGTCTGAATTTCAAGCAGTGAAGTGAGAAATCAAGTTAGCAGTCCAGAGCAGAAATCATTAGTCTTTTTCCAAAATATTAATAGTTGCTGCAGTGACCTTTCTCCTTGTCTGCATTCACATATTCACTTGGATTAGCAGAAAGACAACTAAAAGACAACTAAGATCAAATTGAATCAAGAAAATCTGAAGTAACTGGAGGCATTAATTCAAGCAATTTATTTAAATATAATTAAACTGCTCAGTAGAAGTGGACATTCAGTACTAAAGTAGCCTTAATTTGCTTTATCTTAATTTACTTCTCAAGCACATTGTGGCCATTTCCATCCTGAATACACGTATCTGAAATCTTAACCAGATTTGAGTAACCCACTTTAACAATTAATTCAGATACATTCCCTTCAGTATTCATGTCTCCTGGGTAAATGGAATAAAGAAAAAAGGAATTTAAACTGATGAATGCATTTTAGCTGAAGAACAATTTGTTACTATTATTACAGAAGAGAGATTAAAAAGCATTTTTCTCCTAATGAAACACTGGATGAGATTGTATAGCGTATGTGTTTTCTACATTTACAAGAATACAGTGACAGCTATGGGTCTGAAGTCTCCTCTGTCAAGATGTTCTAACATGACAGTATTGTATTACCTGAAAGACAAACACTGAGATGCATATTATTACCTGTAACACCTAAAATATTCTGTCTACAACATTATCACTGGGCATTTGAGGGATGAAAAAAAAAATAATAAAAGAGATTAAGTGATCTATCCACAGCTAAGCAATAGTGACTTAATCAGGGACAGAATGTAGATTTGCTCCCGTTCCTAATTTTCACTTAGAAGCTTCAGACTTCCCATAGCAATGTGTGAGCTGCCCTACAAAATGAAACTACCCCACAGGCTCTAGGTTTGCCTTACCAACATTCTGTCTTAGGCATGGATAAACTCTGACTATTTAGTCAGTAGTTACTTCTGAAGAGGGAGGAGAAATGGAGAAACAAAATACAACTACACCATTAGAGACATGACTGCAGTGTGGCCATATTTGCCTGTGCTTTTTAAACTCATGACACTGTGAATTGGTCTCCAATTAGTCCTCCAATGCAAAGATCAATTGTTTCAGAAGGGTACCCAACATGGCAAGGAACAGCAGACTTATATCTCTAAGAGATACAGGCTATGCAACAAGGAAGATGTACTCACATATCATCATTTACTCTAAGGAACGCTAGTCAAGAGACCAGGATCATACTGTGTTAAGATTTGGTAAAGATACAAAAACATCTCAGTGCACCTGATTCTGGTCATCCATTTCAGCACAGAAAGACCGCAAGGTTTGAATCCAAACTGCAGAGACCACTGGAAAGGCACCATTGTTGACATGTATTTGTCCTTGCACAAAGCTGCAGATACTCAAAAAGGACAGCTCAAAGGCTAACATTAAGGAGATAATAAATAAGAAGTCACAATACCAGGTAATACACGTCCTCGTGTGAAATACATTGTTGAACATTGTAAATTAAATAATCTCTCACCCCGCTGTATGTGTCACCTGGTAAGTTTGTGAGAGAAAAATTAGGCAGAGAGTAAGTGACCTGCCCATAGGTATTCAGTTACCCTAAAAAGCAGGAGTATTTGAGGCATGTTTACTTGGAAAGAAGAGACTTTATTGCTGCAATTTCATAAGGCACAATTGCTCTCCACAGACATTTGTCTTTCCTAAGTCCTTCACTGAAAAAGCTATTTGTTAATAGCAGCTAGAAGTACACCTTTCATGAACAGAAAAAGTGACTGATAAAATACTTATAAAAAATGCTTAATATTTTGGACATTAAAAAAAATCCCTGAAATAACTTTGGACATTTTAGCAAGAGTTTGAAGAGGTGCTCCTCTGGAGTCATGTAAGCCACAAGGAAACAATACAAATACAAAAGGAGAGTAAACTCCTCTTTTGCCCCACATGTTGACACCTGCAATTCAGGAGTGGCTTCACGCCACAGAGCTGAAATTCAAATCAAAGCTGTTGCTCAGATCTCCACTGCTGACATCCAATCATAACAGAAACTTACTTCATGAACCAGAAAAAACAGTCTCTGTGAGAGTTTTTCTTCTATTTCAAGGCAAACATTTGGAGTGAGGTAAGAATTTACAATCTCAACTTCCACTGCAATTTTCAAATCAATCTCTTACAAAGATGGGTCAGTGCTGCCTTGTCCTCTTGAGAAAAATCTCATGCATATAGTCCCAAAATCTTCCCTGATGCGTCTCATTGCGATGAATCATAGCAGTGAGGGCCTCACCCTGATCAAGGCTTTGCCAATAATCCTGCAGCCACATCTCTTTCCAACTGAAACAAAAAAAGAGACACAATCATAAACCACCACTAAAACCCCTCAGATTATTCTGCAGCTGATGTAGCACTGAAGTCATTTTTCTTCTTTCACCTAAGAGGAAAACAAGCCCAGAGATGGTCATAACAAAGTATGTTGTTACTGTGCCATTGCACTGCAAGTCATTTAAAGAAACCTGCTGTGAAAATTCTCTACAGAAAACGCAAGTTCATTATTAGCTTTACAACATTCTAGAAGTATCAGCATGTGACTACAGAGTTAACCAAAGACACTCAATTATTAATTGTGGAGAATAAAACCTTCTATTAACATAAAATCTAGCAGAGTCCTTACATGATTTTGAGAGTCGCCTTCTATGGCTAGTATGCATATAACAGCCTAAGAACCAAGTTTTTCTTGTCTTCTCTTCCTCCCCAATAAACCATTTAACAATTAGGGAATGGCAGCTACTGACAGCTACTCACTGCAAACTCTGGTTATACATGGCACAGACAAAAACTCATTATATCCTTCAACCCTAACTCTGTATCTCCAAACTAGATGGTCGAGTATAGGCTCTTTTTCAGTGCAGACATTCTCAAACTTTTCATAGCAGACTGCATCACTGCAACTTTCAACAATTCCCATTCGTGATCATGTGGACTACTTCTCTCATTTGTGTTATATCAAGGTAGCTTTCTGAAGTAGACAGCAGAAAATGTAAAAGCTTCCCTGGTACAATTTTTCCAGACTCATGTCTATGAACAAGGGAAAAGTAACATAGTGTGGTTCAATAAGATATGGAAACTTCCGTGTGATGCAACAGTGGCTTGGATTATGGAGTAACTGTTCAAAACTCCTTGCTGATAACCAGTGCACAGAGTGATGGGAGTACCTGAGCTTGTAAGTGGCGTAGGCACCCATGCGGTGCCTTCAAAAGTACTTCTCTACTGCCATCTGCTGCTCCAGCAAAAGGCCAGCCATGAAAAAGTAGAGAACGCTTAGAGAGTGGGACACTGAATAATGTTACAAGCTACAACCACATTTTGTTACGAAGACTGAGAAAAGGTTTCAGTTGGCCACTTATGAAAGCATTCAAACATAGGACAAAGTAGGTCCCCACACTTAGAAAATTCTTCGTATTTTTTCGTGGATGGATAACGTAATAAAAACTTTCTTGGTGATAGCTATGAACATAGGCAAGATCTGCTGCTGCTGAGGGTTTATGTTTATGAAGGCTGGCTGATGGCTTTCAGAAAGTGAACTGTATGCACTTCAGTAAATGCCTAGAAAGACAGAAATTGTTGCAAGTAATGCAAAGAAAAATTACAAACCTGAGGGATCCAAACATGTTACACTAGAATACACTACAAAAGGTGCACGCATTGTTCATGAACTGCAAGAACCCTTCCTTCTAGCAACTGCAACTTCAAACAAACACAGTTAGTGGAAAAACTCAAGGTTTGGGAACCCAAACACTGACGTGTTTTGTGCCAAGGCATGTATAAATTACTAAGTAGACCATGCAAACACACCTCTATTCTGCCTGTCAGAAGTGGTTGCCTGAGGGTTAGTGTGGGTAGTTCCCTGCTGCCAGACTTCTGTGCAGCTCACACTAGAGATGGCTAACACGGGGCTATGGGCCTGGGAGATTCCAGCAACACCAACAATCCCCATGTGCAAAGGGGCTAAGAAGCTGCTTACTCTCTGTCCTGCGTGGTCCCTCTCCTAAATAAATGGGATGGTGTCCTTCAAACACAAGACAGAATTTTGTCACACAAACCAACAAAAAGTTTTGTAAAGCATTCTGGGTAAGCCTAACTTCTGCTCTGAAGTCAAGAGGAGTTAAACAAGCCTGCACTGAACAGTGCCAACCCCATTCTTAATGCAGTACTTTGTAAGGAGGCACAGAGCTTCTTGCACCCAAGGGCTATCCAAGTGCTTTACCATCCCTGTAATGAAAAACGCCCTTCTTTCAAACAAAGAATAAAAAAAAAAGAAATACAAAGGATAAACACACTGCCCAAGGCCACAGAGCATTTTAACAGAGTATTATGGGTGTCTCACGCTCCTCATTCAACAGCTAACAAATACCACCAGCTAAGTCTCTTCTTCAGCCCCAGTACACAAAATTAGCAGAACTACCAGACTACCCACAAGATATAGTGTCACTGGAGATGTATTAAGAGATCCTTTAAGTACAAAGCATTATTAACAGTTATGGCTACTATTATTTGAAGCTTTTCTTCAAAAGGCACAGTCTTGGTACATTACCTGTCTCCTCCAGAGAGGTCTTCAACGTTTCCAAACCCAGGGGTGGGCATAGGACAGCCCATGTGCTTGAACTGAGCTATGCGAGGTCTGGGAGCTGGAATTTTCCCATGAGACTTTCTGTGTTCCTGCTCCTCTTTGACCCGGGTGTTCTCCCTGTCACAGATGAAACACTCGAAGCCATTCAGGTAATTGGGCAGAGTCATGTCATTCACCCCCCACTCCCGCCTCTCCAAGCTCTCTAGCAAGAACTGGTTTTTGATTCCACCATGGTTTTTATACTCTAGATACTTCAAATATTCCTCTCCATTCTTGTCCAGGAAGTCAAGATACTTTGCCAGCTCTTGGGGGCTGTCAAAGTCATCTATCAGAATAATGGAGAGGTTGTTTGGCATCCAGTCCCGCACAGCTGGGGAGCCTCGGTATACTGGGACAGCCCCCAGGTGCATTGGACGCCACAGCTTCTCTGTCATGTAGTCATCACATATGGCATTCTCCAAGGCCAGATGGAACTTGTACCTGGCGATAAAAGTCATAAACTCAGAATCTTCTGTGGTTGCTGTAGAAGTGTCTCTCAGTCGTTCACTGGGGAGCTCACGGTTATGCAGGCATTTCCCATAGGAGTCAACCTAAAATAACAACAGACATCTTTACAAAGTGACTTGTTTGCCTGGAGCTTGCTGTCAGAGCTTGTATTTCTTGTAAAATTCCTAACTTTGATCAGTTCCTAGCTTCTTTAGTTTAGCTTTGCTTTCACTCCAAGTTCTTTCCCTTGTGACTATTCCTGTAGTCCCAGTTCTAACAACTTTAGAAGAAACTGAGGGCTCAGTTTCAAAAGCAGCATAAACGATGCTACAGATTGAGGGGCAGGGGGAGTGTACAGAAAGGAAGATGTTACCCCAAAACTTATTTATTAGTGGCTACATCAGGAACTCGGAGGTAAGGATGGGCATTCAGCTCCCTCTGAGTTAATTTACAAGTGATCTACTTAACAGAGACACAGCTCTTTTCCAGTTACTACACACAGCTCCTGCCAGTCTCAGCAGGCTGGCAAAAATGCTTCATTTGTCAGATGGAGGAAAATTGATGCAGGGAACTAAAAGGATACTGTCTAAAACTGAAAGCCCATACACTCGATCTGGAATCTGCCTCAAACTTTGACAATACAGTCATATTTTAAACGTTCTTTTGTCTTTGCTTCACTACTGAGTACATGATAAACTTGCACAATGAATGAACCACGACCAATAGAAACAGCAAGGAAAAAGATATTTTAGATAAACACTAAAACCTGATTTTGTTTCTAATCTACTGTCCTTCAGAATTTTTAAGAGGAAAAAAGCATTACGCTTTTTTTTTTTTGCTTGACAGAATCATTATCTCAGTTTATGAAGCTACTCTGTAAGCTGTGCCCGAGCAATACAAACCACCATGGAAACAACACGGTCCTACACCACTTCTCAAGCAGCAGACAATCAAAACCATCTGCCTTTTCACTGAACACCTGTACTTTTAAACGGGAGCAAGGCTTGCAAACAACCAGCCTTCATACAGGCTAACTTAAAGGTCCAGAGATTTCAGTAACTCTGGCACTTGGTCCACTAATCCATTCAGGCTTAACCCAACCTGTGATTGATCCCAAGTCTGGCCAACTCCACAACTAACAGCTACCATCAGGCCTACCTACTGGCATGTGATGTAGTCTAGATCACGCTTTGGGAAGGAATACAACTAGTTTTTCTGTCCAGCTTGTAGTCGGCATGCATCCCCGTTACGATTCGTGCCTTGGCTAAAAGCAAAGACAAACAAACCCCATTAAGAAGAGGAGGTGGAAGGAGGGAGGGAGGGGGGCAGCCAGGCGGACCCACCTCCTACAGCAACCCCACACCACACCTTCCCCGCGCATCCTGCCTACCTGGATGTACTTCATGAGCTCCCGCACGTAGCGGTCCCGGTCCGAGGGGACGTCGCAGTGGGACTGCATGTACAGCACCGGGGCATAGCCCTTCTGCCGCCACGCGTCCTTCTCGGCCAGGGGCACCGCCGGGCCCCGCAGGTACCCCACGCCGGGCAGCCACTGCAGCGTGAGGGGGTAGTCCGACTCCCGGCGGAACGTGGCTGTGTAGTTGAAGAGCTGGATACCCGGCGAGTGCGAGAGGACGTAGTTGTTCATGGGGGACTCCTCGTGGAAAAGCGCCCACGTCTGGTGGGGCAGGCGGGGCAGCGGCGCCTCGTAGGCCCTGAAGTCGGTGCCGTAGAAGATGAGGGCCTTGGTGCGGCGGTGTTGGGCCACTCGCCGGCTGCGGGTGACGAGGCAGGAGCCCCGCGGGCAGTCGATGCGCTCCGTGTCGCCGGGGAAGTGTGGGAAGAGGCTCCCGCTCCACCACAGCAGGATGGGCAGCACCTTGTTGCTCCGCGTGTCGTTGTTGCCGGGGCCGCGGTAGGACGCGGCGGCCACGAAGGCCGCGCCCGGCGGGACAGCATCCTGCGCCCACCCCTCCGCCCCGCACGGCGCCGTCGGTATAGCCGCCTCCTCCTCCTCCGCTACCCCCAGCCCCTCTGTGGCGAGCGCGACCCCCGCACCCCAGGCCAACGCCAGCGTCACCCAGAGGCAAGAAGGCCCCCAGCCCGGAGCGCGGCCTGAGCTGCCGCCACCCATGCCCGCCGCCCCGGGCCGGCACCGCTCGCCCCGCTACAGGAAGCGGCAGCAAGGGCCCCGCCCTCGGGAGCCGCTCCGTCAGCGGCCGCAAGGGGCGCAAGAGCCTGGCCAAGGACGAGGAGGGGCCTCAGGAGCGGGGCAGGGCCGACGCCGCACGCCCTGCCCTCCGCGCAAGCTAAAGACGGGAGGTAGGGCGTGCGGCACGCTGCAGGACGGGGCAATCTTACTGCCAGCTGCCTGTAACGCACCTGCAGCAGAACCTGGCTGCACCTACAGGGAGACACCCGGGAGATTTCACCGAGGGAGAGCCTGCCGAGAGCAAACCCACCCGTGACGAGGCATCTTCAGTACAAAATTGGCCTTTCGATGCCACAAGAAAAGTATGCCGAGGGGGGGAATGCCTTCAAGTGGTATTTTTTACCTATCTACCACTAGATTTAATGCACTCTTGAAGCTGCTCTTCTGTGCCAACCTTCAATAAACTGCTTTGGTATTAAAATATTCTGGAAACAGGAAATTGGTAATCTGCAAAACTGAGTTTAGGATACGCTATAAAAATCTAGCAGAAGCATGCTAGAATTACCACTTGGTTATGGAATTGCTAAAAGCTTCAGATTCATTCCTTGAGAGGTAACTTAAGCCCAAGCACAGTACTTGACTGATAATTCATAACACAGGGCATCAGTATGAGCACAAGCAAAGTATTCTCTAGCTGTGTAAGGAAGAGGTTAAAACATGGGAACGTTTTTGCGTTCTTTTGAAAAGTTAGGTCTTTTCACTGCTCAACCACGATCCAGATGCACACCCCGGTCAGTGCACAGGCACCACCCCCACGCCATCCACACCAGCTCCTCCACTTACATCCCGACAGAATGCTAACAGACATGGGCTCTGCAAGGCAATTTCCACATCCCTCGGAAGGGGTACTGCCACAAAGATGCCTTCAAGTACAGTTTGCTCCACATAATTAACATACAAGATGCATAAGGACCATCATCGTAGTAAATCAGTTCAGTAGCAGATACTGGACATAATGTACATCCTTGTAGGAGAAAAACCCTACACATATGCTACAGCAAACCATGTAGGACATGGAACTGTTGGAACAAGTCCAGAGGAGGGCCACGAGGATGATCAGGGGACTGGAGCACCTCCTGTATGAAGACAGGCTGAGAAAGTTGGGGCTGTTCAGCCTGGAGAAGGCTGTGTGGAAACCTCACAGCAGCCTTTCCAGTACCTGAAGGGAGGCTACAGGGATGCTGGGGATGGACTGTAGTGATAGGACAAGGGGTAACAGGTTAAAACTTAAACAGGGGAAGTTTAGATTGGATATGAGGAAATTCTTTCCTGTTATGGTGGTGAGGCACTGGAATGGGTTGCCCAGGGAGGTTGTGAATGCTCCATCCCTGGCAGTATTCAAGGCCAGGTTGGATGAAGCCTTGGATGGCATCGTTTAGTGTGAGGTGTCCCTGCCCATGGCAGGGGGGTTGGAACTTGATGATCTTAAGGTCCTTTCCAACCCTTACTATTCTCCGTAGTTTTGGAGATTTAGTAATGACTGTCTTGTGCTTTCATACAGATTGTTGTAAGGGTATCAGCAAATTGTACATCAGTGTTCTAGGCTACAGTCAAGTTACAGCGCCAGTTCACTCAGAACATTATTTTGGCAGTTAGCACCTGCCACCCCTCCCCCCAAAAAAAACAAACCCAGACACCAAACAAAAAAACCACCCCACAAATGAAGAAAAAACCTCAAACCAAACCCAAAACCCCACCCAGCTTCCCTGCTATCTTAAGTCTGAACCAGGAGTTCTAGCTCTCCAACACACACAAAAGTAATACTTCCTAAAGTAGTCCAAAAAGCCCCCAGTCCAACCCAAGCCGTGTTAGAGAAAAGGGAAATCTCTCTGCAAAATGAAAGCTCAGAAGGGACAAAAAGTTAAAACCAAGACAAATCTAAGCAAAGTAACACGGAAATTAAGCAGCACCTTTTGTCTGCTGACTCCTGTTGAGTTTCTTACCATTCAGTGCAAATACGAATAAAAACTGAACTTGGTCAGCAGACGATCAGCTGTACAGGATCCATCAGCTGGACTTCAGCCCTACCCACTTCCTCCCTCCCGCAAAATACAGGGTTTGGAAAAATAAGCAGTGTTTATTTACTAACAATGACATAAAATACATCTTAATATATTTTTATTTCTTTACAAATTAAAAGATGCATTGGAAAAACAAGTGAAGAAAATGAAAGGTTCATTTATAATTTCATTTCCACCCCCACACCCCCCAGTATTAATACTAGAAATTAGTATTTGTGGAAGTCTGTGGTTGCTGTGCCTTATATTCCTGGGAAGTTCTTTTTCCCGCTCTGGTTAAAAATCCTCTAGATTTTTTGGTTGGAGGCAGTATGTGGAGTAAAAAGTCAGCCACATTCATACAAAAACGCTGAAGGTTCTGTCAACTACATCTTGAAAGAGTTTCTCCATTAGAAGTTTCATATTCCCCTTTCTGTGTAGTGATGGGAGGGAAGACAAACAGACTAGCAGCACTAGAAATAAAATGGATTCATACACATGCTACAAGGATAGGGATATTTTTCTCACCTTAACAAGGACTTTTCTCTGAAATAGCAACCCCAGATAGTATGTTCTCTAATCCACCCACATTCTTCCTTCCACTTTTAGTGCTATTTGTACCTTAAACTCCTGGGTATTGTAAGAATGCTTGTTAAGCGTTCAAGCCAAAATATACAAGTCCTCTTTCTAAATGAATAAACAAAGCCCTTATAATTCTGAATTTGATTTACACCCACTCCCTCGTCGCAGGATCTTCTCTTGCACCCTTGCAGGATGGAGAAGCAGAGTGGCCTAAGTGGATGGATTAATCTCTCTGAGGTATTTTAGTTTAACAAACAGGCTTATAAAAAGGTTTTGTGCAAGCTGATCAGTAGATAGAATGGGGAAGGGTACAAACATCTAGTAATGAAACTCTACACTATGGCCCAGATGCTTTCAATAACCGTAATCAGGTACTTGTAATACCTACTACAGTACAGTCTAAGTCTCAGGGGGTTTTATCTCCTTCCTTGTATTCCAGGGTACAAAGCAGTTTGAAATTTGCATCAGTGTAAATAAAATTCCTATTTGTTTGCTATGAGTCACAATAATATGGTAGAAAATGGCCACTTCCTTATCATCCAGTTCCTACACAGCCCCACATCACCTTGTTAAAAGCATTTTCTGCTTACAGTTAAGAGGCTTTTGTTCCCACCACCATCTAATTAGACAGATAAGCTCTGGAGGAGAGGCCATGGAACATGGATTGAGTAGAACACTACAGAGCCGTGCAATGAGAAGGAGTCACCACACATGCCAACAGGAAGCACCAGCTCTACCCCTACACTGCTCAGAAGGTTTTGATTGTTGGTCACTGAACTACTACTCCATTACAGATCGGCACAGCAACTTATAGTATGGGGAACACTGTGGAAATAAATTTGCCCTGTTGCCTCCTGGGTTACTGCTCATTTCCTTTCTCATGGCTTTCTGGTTCAGACAGCCACACGATATATCTGTGCTCTGCAACTTCATGTTTCCCTCTTAAGAGGAGACACAAAATGTTTGGCCCCTCCAGCTCCCATCACCTGACCTGCCTCTCATCCTCCCCACCTGCATCCCCTCCACACTCGGAGCATGCACACACGCCCATACAAACACACAGCAACTACCAGAAGTTTTGAAGAGTTATCGCTTTTTCACCCAATGTTGAATCATGTACAGTGAACTGAAAAAACCTACATTCATTAAGACAGGATTAGCGAGCATGGGGAGGGGGGGTGAACTCCTGCCAAGCACAGGAAACAATTTAGATACAAGTAAAAGACCTGGTATCAAAGGCCTTTTGCTTCTTTTTAGCCCTCACCAGGAAAATTTGTCATCTCTCATACGGGACTGGGAGAGGTTGAAAGGATTTCTGCTTATGCAATGTGTATTAAAAATTATGGAATTGTACAGATTTCTATGCTGTCCTTTTTGAGGGCGCTGGACCGTCAGATCAGGTCATTAGTGGAGACTGAAATGTCACTGCCGAGTTCCAGCACCACTCCCTCCTCTAGCTCAGTAGCTGCCGAATCTCCTTATGCATGTGACACAGGAAGTCCACATATGAAGCCCCCCCACTCAGGCTCTTGTCCTCCACTAGAAAGTGTTTGAACAGCATTTCCAGCTTATCTTCTTGCTTCACAATTATTAACTACAAAAAAAAAACAAACCCAAGAACAAAACCAACAGTGAGTAGTTAGCAGAATTAATGTTCTTGATAAACAAGAGCAAAGATCCAAGTAGCTCAAAAATACAAAGACGGATAATCAGAATCACACAGTGTATATGGCTTACGTGCCTTGACTTCTATGACTAAACTGGGTTATAGTCTCAGTCCTTTCCAAATAGAAAGAAGACACCATGTATGTGGTTTGTGCAATGCTATGTTATAACAGGTCTGAAAAAAATTACCTTTAGAAGTATAGAAATCAGAGAACTCCAAAACTAGTAACTGTTTTAACTGGCTTTGTGGTGGCTTTTTGTTGTTTGTTTGGTTTTGTTTTTTTTTCCCCCAGACCCTTGTAAACTTCATGTTTGGATCATATTTACGAGATCAGGAAGAGTAAGTTCAGCACTGCAGCACTGCCAGGCATCACCTGCTCTGCTAAAAGGGAAGGGGATTTAAAGCTACGAATGGAGGACAACATTTTTACCTTCATGTAGCGGGATCTCTGCATTTGAAGCATGTCAATAATAGATCGTACTTTCTTTGAAAAGGGATTTTCCAAGACAGGCAGGGTACTCTGGAATGCAAGATACCCAGTCCCCATTAATCACATAAAGTAGAGATATATAAGATATATCTACTCCCACTAACTCCCACATAAGAATCTACTCCCACTAACATACAATCTCTTTGACCACAACTGGTTAAAAGAGAATGTAACAGAATATCAGAATTAAAGGTAAATTACTTGTCCCGTTTACGTAGCAACTGCTCTCCTCACCATCACTGGAGATGTGTGGCTTGTCAAATAAAGCTAGGCAAGACTCTGTCTGACATTCCCAGACTAGAGGCATTTCCACTAGTTTCCCACACCTATGCTTCTCTTGTTCCTAATATAAAAAAATTTAAGTTTTCTCCCCTTGCTTTCTCACTGTTTCAAGTTTTGGGCAACACTCACAGATGCTAGCGCCTGCACTGCCATCCAACTCACCAAGCCGTTGCTAATCTGACTGAAGGATGACACTCCGAAGAGGTTCTGGATCAAGCCTTGTTGCACGTTGACTCCCACCCACACAAAGATGTTCAGCCCATTCTCCAACAGGTATATGTCACCCTTGGAAAGACGTTCTTCTGAGTTCCGGATTGCTGCTGGCAAGGAGTCACTGTCAACATCTGCTTTGGTCTGGTTTAGAATGAAATAAAAAATTAAAAATCAAGGTTATAATACAAGAATATCTTACAAAGTCCTGAAAATTTCTGCCATTGAGACCCAAAAGGTTTTCTCATTTCTAGGACTTGCAAGACTGCAATAGCTGTGACTGAAGTATCATGTTCCTTAGCTTAGTTTTCTTACTGAATGTGACATAGAAGCAGAGCAGAGACTCTTGGTCAGTAAAAGAGAAATAAGGCATCTGTAAAATTACTAGTTCTAATATTGCTTCCTGGAGTAGGAATGTAATTAGTTCTTAGTGTTATTCCAGCAGCTATGGTAATGAAAAGCCAGAATAGTGCATGGAGCTGCTCTGCAATGATGAAAACTACTACATAAAGTTACAAGAAGCTTTAGGATTTTTAAGACTGTGAAAGGGTCAAAAGTGTCTTCTTTGCCACTAGTCATATGCTCACAGCTCAGGAAAAAAATCCCCCAGCAAATTCACAAGTTGCAGTAATGCATCTATCACTGAGTGGAATTAAGTACCCCAACAGATGGCAGATCCCAAATCGTTCTCAAATCACTTTCACTTGATAGAATATAAATGCTAGTCCTTATGGCAAGTCAAGAAAACAGCAAGTCTAAAGTGGCAAGAACATACTGAATTACTCACCAGGGGCAAAAGCCTAGGATAAAAGAAAACATTTGTTTCAGCCACATCCATGGATGTGACTAACTGACGAATGTAAGCACGGTCATCTGTTGTGACCTCTAGACCAGGCTGAAGGACGTCGCTCTTCAACACACAATTCAAGTACACAGGAAGCAGCTTCATGCATTCAGGAAGGATCAGCTACAAGTCACAAGCAGACAGAAGATGGTCAGCTGTCTTGCTGAATAAGCTTATGTCTGACAAAACGAGGCTTGCATGAACTAACAAAGTGTGGTACAGCTGTGAGGAGTGAAAGCTGACAGTCTAATTATATCATGGACTTGCAAAGGTAACTTAAAACTTTTCTCTGGAGCAGGAAGTGCTTCCTGGGCTCCAGACAGATGTCCAATAAGCTATTCTCAACTACAGTTTCATTTGCAGTCTCTTACTGAGTCTTCTCTTTGCAAGTTTCTGCTGAGCAAAGCAATTTTGAACAGGCTAAGTAGGAAGAAGCTCTCATTACTTTTAATATCCAAGCCTGTGATTCAAGTGAAAGCATTGGAGTTTACCTGGCCAGCAGAAGAGGGACTAGCGCAGTTCTTTCTGTAGCAAGCTAGGATCTGGGCACACTGGCTGATCAATGCATCCCGTACAGTCTTTACTGGACTACTCAGAACTCCACGATATGCTGCATAGAAAGAGGAAAGAAATGGATGGCTATCACTCCTAATAAACAGTAAAAAAAGTGAACACTACTTCCACAAAGTAAATCTAAACAACTGATGTTTATGAAAGAGCAGTTAAAGAACTAAAATAGTGCAAAAAATAAATACAAGGATTAATTTAGATAACTGTCAAGACAAACCTCTATTAAAATAAATTTAGACAAGAATTTGCATGAAAGATAAGACCACGTGCTCTATCTGTACCTGTTGTCCCAAGCAATAATACTATCATCACAGCTTTAAGCTCTTTCCCATAAATGACTGAAGTATCAGGATTGCCACCTGATATTTGATGCACAGAGAATAAACATGTGTCACTGGACAGCAACAGGTATTTTAACAGCAGTTAAAGGTTGCAATTCCTGTTACCATATTTACCCTTACCATATTTAGCCAAGTAATTGATGAGTGTGTCTGTCTCACAATTTCGATAGAGGTCAGCAAGCTGTGTGCAACAGTTTAAGGACAGGTTGTGAATGCGGAGTCGTCGCTGTCCTGCACAACTTGTATATAGCAGAGCACACTGTAGGAGACAAAAATGCCAGGATATAGAAAAATTAGGTCCTGCTATAATAAGCAAGGCAGGAATATAATTCATTAAAAAAGAGGACTCAGATGCCTAAACAAACGAGATTACGTAAAAGACCTGCACAATAAACTGAAAGCATACGCTAAGAATCAGGGTCAATTAAAGATAAACAGTGGGGTTAGCATTTTGTATTAAGGGAACTGGTCTTAGAAAATAGACTGTAGTTTGAAGCAGTTTAGGTCACACTGATAACAAGCATGGTGAAAGGTTAAGGGTAGTAAGGGGCAGAAAGAAAGAATGAACAATTTTTGAAGGAGAGTCTAATTATTCAGTTCAGAGTAACCTCATCCTCTTCTGCAACTGGCACACTCCCAGCTGAGATTTAGTTCTGCCTTGACACAGTTTTGTTGACAATCCTAAATTGCCAACACTTCTTTCTCCTAGAAAACCTCCCCCCCTCACCTGAAGGAGTGCACCACTGTCTTCACTCAGTTTGTCATCGTGCTTGAATTCCACTGTTATTGTTTTATCACAGTCCAAACCTGCCATCTCTACGTCAGTGGTGTTGCTCATATAGAAAGCTCCAAAGAAGTCAGTTGCTCGAATACCTTAAAAAGAAAAAACAACAAAACCAAACAACATGAACCACAATTCTCAACAGAATAACAAAACAGACATGCTTTGAAGCCCTGAAAAATCCTGTCATTTGTAACACTAAGTTATCTTGAAAGACTTCAGTAGGGGTTTTTGCTCAACCTTGACAAAGCATTAGAATTTCAGAGCTTTAGCAGACCTTTTCATATACCCTAGTCTCGAGATGTTTTAAATTAGGGGAAAAATCTGTACTTCCCTAAGGACATGCTAATACCCACCTGTGCTTGTGCGCACTCTCATTACAGCATCAAATCCCACTTCTTTCTGGACATCTCTTCTCAGGTCATTCAGGAACCTATCCTGGTCAGTCTCCAGCTAGAAAACAAGCAGTAATTCAAGTTTCATACTCCCATAAGTTACAGCTGCTCCATAAACCATAGGGTAATTTAAAACCAGATACTATCCCCTACAGTCTTACTCTAAAAGTTACCTATCATACAGGGCTTAGTACCCTGCTAATAAAATATTGTGCTAAAAGATACCAGCATAGTTTTTCTTCCTGTTGTTTTTGTTATTGAGGTATTTTTTGTGAAGACATAAAGCTAACTCATTTTGGTGAAAACTGCTACTTAAATCTCAAGATTTATTTCCAAAGAAGTACTTGCTCACTATGGTTCACATTATAAAAAAGGAATTCTTAACTAAACAATTCTCATTTAGCTCAAATACCAGTCTGAGTCAATGTCACTCTTACCTGGAAATATGCATACTTATAAATGGAGCCTCCAGTCTGGTAAGTGACTACACCTAGTGTCGCGACATCCAAATACTGGTTTGGAAACAGGAACAGATCCACACAGCAGCCCTGGGTCACACAGTCCTTGGCCAAGTTGTTGTAAAAGCTTGTCTGCGGCTGAAACAAAGTCTAAGAAAAGAAGTCAGAGATGAGATCAGAAATTTGCTTTAAGAAAAGGAAAGTGAGAGCCATTTAATAATCCCAGTCAGTACACCTTTCTGCTTTAAATCTCTCTTCAGGGAAATTAGGATCATATAAATTCTTCTTGACCCAGCCTTTGAAGAACTGTCAAATTTCATGAAAATTACTAGACATCTTATTTTGACTGCAAGTTCAGCAGTTTTACTTTACCCAGCTATGGGTATTTTATCCCATATAAAATATGTTAAGAGATTATTAGCTAGAATGCTTACATTACGTGCTACCCTTGAAATGTATTAATGTTGCTTCAGTTATTTTATCTCATAAAGAGTATCATATAGAACTCTTATGTAAGCACCATCCAAGTCATTATTACCTTCTCCTTATCTGTGTTGATCAGTTTCTTATCATCCCTGTTCTTTAACTTTCCTGGGGCCTCTGCAATGGGCAGAGAAGTGTGGAAAATGAAGAGCTTTCCAGCACACTCAGCTGCCTGCAGGAAAATGAGCATAAAAGTGCAGGTTAGAAACATTTATAAAGACTGTAAAGGAAACTGATTCAAGAACAAGCATTCAAGAACCATCATCACTTCTTTATGTCAGGAAGGCTCTACCAGACACACAGATACAGTAATCACTTGGTTACTTCAGTGGTATCCAGCAAGGGGGGAACACCCTACTGGTCAGTTACAGAACAGCAAGTTTCACTTTATTCGACCTGTGCTAGTTCCATGGCAGGAAGAAAAGGACTGGCTCCAACGAGAAACAGAGAAGTAAGCAGGACTCGGTTACAAAAAGTGTTGTGCAAACATGTCACACTGCTTTCTTTACCGATATGCAGCTACTGCTTGCAGAAAAGTCACAGAAATGGCAAAGGATTTTGTAATCTGAGCTTCAACAGATCATTAATTTTAAATCAATAACCTGTATCAACACTAGTCAATGTTTAGTACGGCATTTTCTCTGACACACACAGTACATAAACAATAATCTATAATATTTCTTGACTGAACAATTGTCATGCGAACAGAGTTTAAGAGAAACTTCTGAGGACTTACATGACAGACAACTAGAGCTATATGAACAGGGTTGGATGGAATCATACAAGAAATCCATTCAAGCAACATATGTAAGTCACAGTTAAATCATGCATGTAATTATCTGGATGAAATACTGGGATGGAAGAAGTTTAGGAAAGGTTTTCTTGGTTAGCAGATTGTTGTGGGCAGCTTCAACAGATTGCATTCTATTCTTTTATTTAAGATTATACCAAAGCTTCAAGCACAGGATTAGAAAGACACCATGTTACAGAACTCCTTAATGAGATACGACAGACTTCAGCACTTGGTTTTAATAATGGAGGGTCAGGGTATATTTGGTAGATTCTGTAAACTATTCAGAGCAAACCCCAGCCATGTAAGCCACATGCTTTGAGCAAGAATTATCAAAAATGAAAAACGAATGGGTAAAGGACAGATAGCTGCATAGGATCAGAGCTACATGCACTTGAAGAATGAGCCAATTACTCCCTACATGTAGTGCATCTACCATAAGACGACTTACAAAAAAACTTCAGGATTGTCTTATTAGTGTGTGTTAGCAGAGTATGAACTTCAGGGTACTTGAATGGAAAACAGTTTGCCATGACAATGCATTTACTAACCTTCAGTGCCTCGAGCCCTGCTTGAATCACCGGTGCAAAAACAGTTTCTGTTTCTCTTGTGTCTGCAAACATTTCTGGAATCTGATCCAGCAAACTAGCAAAGAAGAAAAAGGAGGAATTCAAGACTCCATTTAATTGGAAAAGCCAGACAGTTGCAGTTGATCACCCACAAGACTGTGGTGGTTTAAACAGAAGTCCCTAACATGTTTCTAAATTTGCATAATTTTTATGTTATTTGGCATTTCATCATTCATCTGTGAGAAAATGATGCTTTGCCATTCTTCTTTGGCTTCTCACATCCATATCCTCAAGCGCCTGTATAACCTCAAGTGATGCCTACTTCAGAAGCTCTTCTGTATTCCTCCTCTTTTAATATATTCCAATATATATTGGTAAGTGAACTCTAGGAAAGACTAGTGACACTTGGCCTCTGTTTGCCAAGCATCCTGTGTGCTATTCAAAGATTCATAGGTTTAATCCACAGTTTTGTACTTAGCTTGTTAACGCATTACAAAACAGGCTAGAATTTTCTTTTAAAGACATGCAGCGTGAGGTCTAGTTCCCAAAACACGGTTAGTGACATACCATAGTTTAATTACAGTTCAAGTATTATGTTAAAAGAGTTTGCCAAAACTTTGCTAATTTATCTTTCCTTCTAGATTTTATCTTACGGATCAAACTCATTCAATCTTTTCCACAGAAGCAAAATCAGACACCACTGTTGTCTCAGTTGATGGTTATTTAGGCAGTTGCCTTAAACACAGTGATTCAGTACTCTTTTGACTTTCATTCTGCATCATTCTAGTTGTGTTTTTGTTTTGTTCCCAGAAATGCCTTTCTGCACTAAATCCCCTTATATATATATATATATATACACACACCTTCTGCCAATCTGGACTGCAAGACAAATATACCCTTACCTCATGAATTTTCCTATTTCACTTTGCTAGCTTAATCTCAAAGAGTATAAGAAGTTAACCTATATGGAGTGACATCTAGATGAATAACATGACAAGTAAGCATGCAACAGCTGAATCTACCAAACAAGATGCTTACCACGCACATTTTAAATCAATTCCATTACCTGGCAATAACTGTCCTGGACTCGTTCACGTTCACCAGAAAACCATCAAGGAGAGGCACAAACATATCTGCCACATCTGAGACAACCATCATTTGTGGCTGTGCAAGGGAGCTTTTCACATTGTAGAAGTGTAACACTTTGTTGTAGGTGACAAAGCCTACTCGAATGGCTGACTCTTCCATGTTGCCTTCCCTGCAAGAGACATATTTGCCTTCACATCCAAGTCGACAGTGAAATCATTACACAGAACCCAATACAAGAAGGGATAGGGGAAAAATGAAAGAAAGGAAAACTAAATTTTCACCTAGAACAGTATCCAAAAAGATGTTCTGATTGGCATTTTTCTGAAGAAGAGCTTGTTAGGATTATAAAGTTTTTATTCCTAGCTATTTTAAAAGGGAAAAAGTGAGTTTCTCCCATTTTGACTGGTTACAGTAGTACACAAAAACCTACCTGGGCAGGTAATCTAGAAGTGACTTTAATTCTTCACATATTAGTCTCACTAAGCCACTCTTTACAGCGTTGTAAGACACATCAATCATGAAAATGAAAGCAGGGGGACTGGGAAACTTGTTATTCTGGAAAGAGAGGGAAGAAGACACGTTATGACCATGTAATGCAGCCCATATAACAGCCCTGCAATAGGGACAAATGAATGCTGGTCAAAACTAATAGCTTTTATGTACTTTTCTACTCAGGAGTAGCTGTTTCTTCAGGTCATTCTCTCATTCCTGCTAAACTAACAGACATGTAAGCACACTGTGCTTGAAATGGACTGGTACAACATGCCCTAGACTGATTTTGTCATTGCTCAGTGAAGAATTGTGTGTACGTATATCTATATATCTAATTATAACGAATGTAATTATAACTAAATCATCCATTTATATGACCAGGCCAGATACGGAAAGTAAACAGGGAAGTTTCCTGCCAGTTCTCAAGACTATGGAGTCTGACCAGACTTGTAATAGGTGATTTCATTAATACAAACGAAAACATATTCCTCTTGGAGGACTGCAACCTTTCCCTTCTACTTAAGTATCAGGTTTGTTTTGGCAAAGAGAAGCTTGTTTCAGTCAATAGCTTTCTGAAATCTATAGGACATGTGGGAGGCACACGCAGAACAGAAGATAAACAGAACTTTCAGAAAAGCTGGGATGATTTCATCTCGTTTGAACTAAAAATGCTTCCTATGCTGTTAGAAGCAAGACTATTATTTTTTCCCATAACTAGAAGTAAATGTGAGGCATTAGAATAAAGTTGCAACATTTAGACATCTATTTTCCCATTATTTATTTCAGCAGAGATCTAAGTTGCTTTATTAAATACCCTGCACATATATTTTCTATTCCTTAGAAGTGAACCAGCTCTGATAATATATCTTTCCACACCATTCTTGTATTTTTAACCACTATGGCTGTATTTGAAATTTAAGTTCAATAGGTAAAGCCTGCCTTATGCAACAGGTAGTACTGCATAGTTACTCTGCGCTTCTCTTGAAGTTCTCTGACAATCTTCTGCCTCAAGGACTACCACAAGGAAGTCACTCCTGCAGAACTGCTAAGGTAACAGCAACTATAGCTGCTCATATAGCTCCAAAAGAGAATGAGAATGGCAGCTACCATAAAGTTATGTGTGATCAAGACTTCCTTTACTTTGGGAAGTAAGCAGATGAGCACATTATTTTACACAATGAAGTGGGCTGAAGTAATGCTGTTCATCATCTCTGCCAGCTAGAAAGCAGCCCCGGACAATTCATGCCATTCTGACTTTTAGTCTTTCTATTTGGAATCAAACCAAAATACAGTAACAAACACATACTACTCTACCTTGCAATAGTCAACTGTTGCTAGAAACTCATAAGACCCCAGTGATAACTCAGGTCGGTCATAGAAGTCTACTCGCTTTCCAGTATGATCCAAATGCTGGAAGTAGTGAGGTGGCACTGGGAAAGGAAAAACAAAATCATTAAGTCCAGTGACATGCCTGTGATAAACATTGACTAGAGAGCTAACATGACAACAGCTGTTATGAATAAAACTCCAGGAAACCTAGCTTGCACTCTCTGCTAGCATGCAAGCATCACTAAAAACATTAATGCAATTTAAGAGCATTGCTAAAGCCAAGAAATACAAACTGCTTCCAGTTTGTCTTATACAACAGGTGACACACTGTATAGTCACTACTGTACTTAAATCTCATCTCACTTTATATTTCATATCAGAGATGTCACCACAACACACTCTTCAGTTATAACAATCTTCTACAAGTAGTAACAAATGACTTACAATAGAGTTTGAGGCAAACTACAGGCTACATTATTGACTCAATTCAGGCTTCTTATTTTGCTGCAAGTTAGTTTTTTCCTTGCCTTCCCATGCTGCACAAGAGTCAAGCCTTCTAGGCATTCTCTCATGCAGAGATTGCCATAATCCTTTTGTCAGAATAAGCAGGGTACTTCTTACAGCGGATTGTAAAGCACCAATGAAGAAGAACTGGAAGTGTAACCACATCCCCAACACCCAATACTTTCACGCTAGTACGAGGCATCAGAAAGTAAAACAGAAATTATGCTAAGTTCTTGCCTACAGACGTCAGCTGCAGAAACAAGAAAAGCATTTCCCCTGTGATGCAAGAACTGCCATGACAGAGTTTCTCCTGCAGAATTGCTAGGGTGACAAAATATATTCCAGGTATAGCTGCCTATATAGCTCTATGGAAGAATAAAATGAGATGATCTGTAATCATAGTACTCACTACCTTTATAGTAGTCTAAAGATTCAAAGTTTTGACAGTTCAAAAAGAAAAGTTCAAAGAAAACAAAAGTGATATTAAGACTATACATAAACACTTATCACTTCTCCTCTCTAACTCAATAGCTAGTTACCTGATTGTTTTTTGCAAATAAACCAGAAATAGTTCTTACACATTAGGTACAACTACATTGTATTTTCACAGCACTGTTTTCATCAGCAGTCTCTGAACATCTCTCCCTCTTCTGCCCTTGCTCAGTTGTTACGGGTACAGCCATTCATACAGCTGCTGAGTGAGCAGAGACAGGGAATGCATCCAGGCTGAAAATCACCAGACAAACATTTTTTAAAGTTGGCCATTTCTAATCCCTGCCAGCTTCCCATCTGGTTTGTACAAACAGTTGTACAGCATAACTGAGGTGATAAGAACAAACAGCCCATTAAAAGCCACCAGTGCTACCAAATGAGACACTCAAAAACATCACCATAAGGTTGGTTGTACCTTACATTTCACTGTGCCTTCAAAACAAATCTACGGATGTCATGCTATGAGCAGCACACAGTGACTTCTGCTTATATTCATTTAGAAGAGCAACTAAGATTAACTGACATATACTGAACACACCTACTCAGCTATAGCAGATTTAGCTGCAATCTCGTCTTTAAGCAGTGTTTTGTTTAAACACTTTGTGAGAGAAAAAAAAAAATCCTAACTCACACTACTGACTAGATGTACATCTCTTATACAAAAATGCAAGTTTCAAATACCCTTCAAATACCCCTTTCAAGAAAATAGCATAACTAATTTTTCAAAACACCACATATTATTCTAAAAGTAGCTTCTGTTAAAAGTTTGGTACAATACTGCAATGCATAAACACTCACTTGTTTTGTACATAATTTCAGAACTGAGCACTGAACATACTTTATAATGATTTTTTTTACAAGACTAAACACACATTAAAGCACAGTATACATTATAAATTATCTTAAGATGATAAAGATTTATTTGCTTGCATCTTGTTCAAAGATCATGCCAATAGAGTGTAGAAACCAATTTCCAGAAGAAACCTTACCCTCAGTGACACAGCTGCAGAAACAACACTGGAACCTCCTTCCACCCTCAATGAATTGCATAAAAGGGCACATGTAAGCCTTGCACCTATTACAGCGCACAGGACCGGATTCTCCATGGTCTACCAAATAAGGAAGGGTCTGTGGAATCAGGGGAAAAAAGAAAAAAAAGAAAGGTCACATGATGATGAGAAGGAAGTGACCACACATACTGCAGAGCTTAAAATTACCTTCCTGTACATTGCATATGATCTAGCATTTTGGCAGCTGTGGGAGAGAGCACAGGGGGTGGGGAAGCCCAAGCACCTATTTTGTAAATGCTTTTCAACTCAAGCTCCAGCACAGCAGTTCTTTGTGGGCTGCAGTCATTAATGGGCTATCCCACTCAGATACAAACAAGTACTTCTTCACTGTGAGTGAGTGCACAAGCTGTCTGGCTGGGTTTAAACCACGACAACCGGAAAATAAAGGGTTAACAGTGCGCCTGCTCGCTTAAGCAGTCGCTGTGCTTGATGAAGCAGAACCGTAGGAGTTAAAGTTGCTAGAATGGTGAAGCAGAATTGTAGGAGTTACAGCTACTAGGCAGAATTGTAGTAGATAAGATTCATAGCTTAATATTTAAGACATTCTTGTTCAAATAGTATCTTTAGAGAGAAAAGGAACAAAAGATAGCCAGAGTAACAAAATTTACAAACTTGACAAGTTTCTACTTTAAGATACATAAAACCGGCTTGTACTGAACCTGAGGTTTGGACAGGAGCTGAAACCCTACTGAGTCTGCATGAAGGCAAGAGGTTACTTGCGGTGATGAAGAGGAACCACAGACCTTCATCCTAACGACCCCCTAACGATCACCACCAGGAGGCACTGCGCAGGTGCACCAATGGGACAAATGCCAGAAAACTAATTACAATACTAGACGGGAATAGGTTTTGCATATGTATTAGGCGTGAAGCAATCTCATGTTTAGGTAATTATTATATGTAATATAAACAAAATGAGTGGCAAAGGGGGCACACATGCTTTTGGAGGAGAAGCCCCCACGTGCCTCAGCACTGAATAAAGCATACCTACTTTACAACTCTAATGAGTTGTGGAGTCAATCCGCGTATCACTTTCACATGGTGCTGCACTACTTTGCATAGTGGCCTGCTTGAGAAGCATTAGCTCTTGCAGGAATACCACTCCACACAGATGTATCCCACGTGAACAGAAAAGACAGAAGCCATGCAAAGAATGGCTGTGATAACCTCATGGGAGTGAGCAAACAATTTACATTTCACCACAGGCTGGGTGTTTTAAAAGAAACTCTTCACCTCTTTGCATTTTCTCCTTGTAAAAAAGCAAGCTTATTGACAAAACAGAAGCCAGTCATTGCATTCCAGATACTCCAGAACTTAGAGCATCCGGACCACCTCAGAAATAATTTCAGCTGTAAGACTTATTTTTGAAGTACATCTCAGAATTGTTACACAGCAATACCGTTTTTGAACTATTACTGATAATATATTGGTTTTGCAGCCAAAGATGAATAAGATGCTTAGCAACTTCTGATTCTTCTCAGCCTCAGAACAAACAGGTAGCACTTTAAAATGATAAAGACAGAACTCACAAAAGCTACAAGCAGCATTCACAGTTAAAAGCACCATACCTAAGAATGTAGCTCAAAAGAAAGTTTAACTAATTACTCCAAAATTTCTGCACTAAAGGCGTCCAGTCTGAATTCTCTCTGTCACCCTAAGTCTCTGATCATGTTTAAGAGACAACATACTCATTGGGCAGGAGCTGAACAAATGCCCTGGTCACTTTCTTCCTCTTCATGCCACTGATGTGTCACAGCTCTCACTTAACCCCACTAATCAATTATTGACAATACACTGGTTTGCAGCCAGTGTTTCTCAGCACCTATCGCCCAGGCTGACCTCCTCAGAGGAAACAAAATTTTAAGTTTTCTAACTGCCAGGCAATGTTGGTATTGTACTTTGACACAATAAGCTTTTTTCCTCAGCCTCTCCCCAGTAACACGCATGCAATCACTACAGGGGTGCTGAAAACATGCAGTGATATGCGTAACTTCTCACTACCTACCTACTTCCAGAGGGCACAGAGATACTTCTTTCTGAAGCCTCAGACTTTGCTTTCATAACTGTGCATTAACATTGGACAGAAGTCCTGTATCTGGCAACCAAGCGCTGAATTTTTATATGTTCTAGATTTACCTGAATGCTGTCTTTTCATGAGACATTTATCCGCTTGTCACTGATATGTTAAGCTCCAGCTCTCTTTACAGTCTTACTGTTCTGAACAGCTGAGCCTTCATCTGCTAGAAGGGCCCTTTCACAGGGAGTCTGACCTTGCCATAAAGAACTTTCCACTTCCAGAAGCCGACTGGTCTCCAGGGAAATTTTCTAATCCTGGATCCTACCCTTGTTTTTTCTGGCTATCACAAATGTTTGTTCAAAGCATAAAAACACCAGAAGACCTAACAACTAGCTGTTTGTAAAGCTTCTCTAAAAATGTGCACCTCCATAAGCCTCTGTGTTTTCAAATAAGACCATATTCTCCTTGTGTCTCCTTGTAAACTCCGGCCACAATACAGCAATACAAGAATTAACTTTGTAACTCAGTTTTATCACAAACCAGTTTTCAAAATCCAAGCCACAGTTTACTTGCATTAACAAAACACAACAGGCAAAAAAAAAACAAACAAAAAAAAAAAAAAAAAGAAAAGCTTAAAAGCCCAGAGAATACCCTTTGCTTAGCAGATGCTGAAGTTAAACTTTACAGGACAGAGAAACTGCAAACATACCCAAATTTAACAAGCATATTTGTCTTTATGTCACTGTTCCAAGCAGGCTAACAGTACACAGTAGCCAGGGTATTTAAAATACTTAACAAAAGTTCTAGCTCTAATATTCTTGAAGCTGTCATGTTCTCAGCAGCCAGGGTAAAAGGCTAGATAACCACACACTACACCTAAAAGGAAATAAGTGCTGCACAGAGGAAGAGCAGATTTACAAGTGAAGGTCAGCAGTGCCCAGTACTCAGTCTTGTATTGTCATCCCACACAGTGCTGTGCCTGTACACACACATTAGACAGCTTAACCAGTGCTGCTTGATACATTCTCATTCAATTACACAAAGTCCTAGAAGAGACTTAACGTCAGTGATTAGTAACCATTCAAATACTTTAGGTCAAGAAAGAAATCGAGATTAACCGGAAGTGTACGCATTTGTAACCATCCTAGTGTTCTGGTTATGTGGTCACAGTGCTTAACAGTTACTGCCAAAAAAAGCCAGAATTATCATGGATAATTTCTAATGACAGAAATCCTAAACAGTTTGAACATGTCATTCGTCTGCCTTACAGATCTCTACCACACACTCGCGGAAGAATCAGTGTTTTATCTAGTCTTCATCACCTAAACAGTCCTTCTCAACATATCTGTTAAAGTTGGCATCCAATAGCATTCTCTTGATGAGTTCAAAGTGCATACACTGCCTATGAAACTCTGCATATGGTTCTGACCTCCTCTGGGCGTAGAGTTGCCAACGGTTTTATGACAGCAGCTAGAGGAACTTGAGACTGTTTGGCCATATCTGAGGTGCAGGGAATATTGTAAGATGTGCATCTTATGTAGCGGGGGCTTGCGTTACCTGAGGAACAAAGGGAAAAAACACATAATTTTCAGTACAAGTCAAGTTTATATTCAAGAACAGAAACAGAGAAAGTCTTTGTGGCTAAAACACAACTGAGGGGAAGATCTTACTGAAGCAATACATTTTAATCTATGCAAGACTTGAATTTCAAACAAAATGCTCCTTTATGATTAGCTACATATAATAACTCAAACCTTATAATAACTCAGACCTTAACTCAAAACAAATGAACTTGGATTTACATCAAGTTGAACCTTAAAAAGGCATTCATGTCATTGTTTACAGACTAAACCATACTACAGGCAGAAAACTGAATTACATTTCGACTGCTCAATTTTGTAATTTTGGCTGAAGAGTAAAGCATTTGATTGTAGAATTGGATTCTGAAGTTTTGAAGGAGCTTTAAATAAAAGATAAAAAAATAGGAAATTAAAAAATGAAATATCCTTTCTCTATGAAGCCCATGGACCAACTGACATCCCACTCAATTTAAAAACAAATATAGTTCCCAATCCAATCCAAACAATTTTGCTGTAAATTTCAGTTAACTGCAGTTGATATAGCTCTAAAGAAGAAATTTAATTTGTTGCTTTCTGATGATACCCCTGGTAGTGCTGGTCCCATACATCTGCTTTGGAAAACATTTTTTACTTGCAAATCAGTTATTAGCTACCAAACAATCAGAAGATTCTAAATTGAGATCAAATCAACACAAGACTCGAAATCAAGCTTCTGCTGACAAAAACCACATCTGAATCATTCTTCAAACTTTTCCTTTTAAGACTTTTACTGTCACTGATTCTTTGGTGTTCATGTTTTGTTTGTTTAGGAAGACAAAAATATTTTACCTTGATCCTTGACCAAGAAATCTGTAGTAACAAGAGGTGGGACCTGCCCTCTCACTCCAGTGACAAATGGTTCTGACCCACAGTTATTTCTGTCATCTTCAATCACTTGAATCTATGATGGAATACACAACATTAATATTTGGAGGCCTGGTTTCAAAGCATGGTAGAATATAAAATTTGTATCTGTAAGGCATAAAAGGGGACCTGAGACAAACATTACTACCTCTAAAAATAGGAAGTCTAAAGCAAGTAAGTTTTGTCAAGCAGTCACCTCTCAGTTTGATTTCAACTAACACTGAATGACTAACAATAACTTGTAAATAATTGTAAATAAGAAGTTGTAAGTAGTGTTTTCCCCCAAGAATTTTGAGTAGTAGCACATTTTGTGTTTTAAGGCCTTTTCTGAACTCATAAAAGCCAAACACAGATCAAGAGAGGAATTTTTGGTAGTATTCCCCCTTATAGTGTCTTAGCCAAATTAAAATTAGAAGCTTCTGTAAGCCTGAACTTCTACAGATAATCTGCCTTTTCCACTGTTTTCATGGCATGTATTTATTTCTAACCACTGTAACTCCAACCTAAAGATAGGTGCTTGCAAGCTCAGGTGGAAGTCCTCTTTACTTCCTGGTGCAAATAATGCTTAAGATAATGGAAACACATTAAACAATTTTAGTTGACTGAAGTATCTACTGACCTTTGTGAAAGAACAGACAACTGTGGTTATACACAGTTTTAACTACATTTCCATACTGGTGCTTGAATGAAAGCATTAAAGCTATCAGTCATTCTTCTGATCTTATTTTGCCTTATCAAACACACATGTCTTTGCTTAAACTGAAATGCAGAAGTTTGCATGGCAGACCTTCTACCCTCTCACTAAGGGTTCCAAGTTGTCAGCAGAAAGTCTCCCATAGCATCAGACAGTGACTACTCTAGGACAAATCTAGTTCCATTTCAAAAGTCTACAGACTGACACTGGTGATCTCAATGCTTGTACCTGTTATAAGACCAAATTGGACTAAATGAGGAAGTGATACAAGGGTAACAAAGTCAAAGTCAAATGTGGTGTGGGTTTTCTCCCCCACCTTCCAATCCAAAAGGTAGCTGCTTTGTTCTTTCTTGAGGTGAGATACTCTACACATAAGCATTAAATTTTCAAATTCAAAATGTAATGGTTATGTATGAGCACAGATAATGACAGAATGTTTATAGCTCCCCATGCCTTATATTAATCTACTAGAAGATTTGTGTCAAGAATTAACATCAAAACAGCTCATCTGCAAATTTCAAACTTCAAGGCAGTAGCCCAGTACTGGTATATCAGCATGACATATCAAATTCTGCTCAAAACTCACAGAAAACATTGTTACAAAGGCTCATGCTGTGTGTATGTTAAGATGAGGAGCACACTGTATAGACAATTATACTGATGGCTTACACTGAAATGCCAGTTGGAATCTGATGAAGATATTCTAAAGATCAGACAAAGTGGAGGGGAGGCATTCTTCATGATCTGTTTCTGAAACATTCTGCTTTCTATTGCCTCACCATTCATCAGAGAAGAGAAGATTTTAACAACCTTTTGTGGTGCAGTGTTACTCATTTTGATAAGGCAAGCAGAAGACAGCAAGGAAAGGGTAAAGGATTAATGATGGAGGGTTAGTGAGGTGCAGTTCAGGTTTCAGGCATGCACAGATGTTCACCAACATACAAACTACAATTACATACATATACAGCACTTACTGGACTAGGAATTGCATCTGGGTCTATTCTGTGCCTGGGTTTCTGCTGGGGTGGCAGCTCATTAAGTTGCTTATTTTTTAAATAAGAAAATGAAGAGTGCCACAAAAAAAAAACCAAAACAATAAACAAAAGACAAAGAGAAAAAAGAAGAGAATAATAAACCAAAAAGTAACAGTGTTACTTCTTTCTACCCAAACCTGTAGCACTAGAAGTATCATGCAACAGGAAACATCAGCTTCTGCAGCATAGACTGATTCCAAAACCAGCCTCGCCAAGGCTTGAGCTCCAAACACGCTGCTAACAGAGGCAGTGACTCATATGCTTATTTTGGTTAGAAATTGGGGATTTATGCTTTAAGTACATGCTAAAATGAAGGCAACTGACACAAGGCATTTGAGATCTCATTTAGTGGAAGAGAAGAGAAGCAGACAACCAATTAAAGACTTCTTACATTCTGTGAAAAAAATATGGTCACAAACTTTACATAAACTTGGAGTCTAAACAGAGAATATTTTCTGAATACAAATAACTTCTGAACAGCACCAGTCCAGATCTAAGACGTAACTCAAAGACTAAATTATTATTATAGTTTTGAAGCAAACACTGTAAGCACTGCCCTGGAAAAGTTCCCTGTTATCAAATGACTGTGGCCTTCTGAGCCAATAACAGAACAGCATCGGCAGCAGTAGAAGAAATGGCACAGTAGACCAGCAGGAATACTACTGTCAGGCTTAATATTACTCATCATTGCTAACCACTATGTATCACTGCTTGTCCTTTCTTGAACCTCTGTTCTGAAAGATAATCCCAGTTTGAGAAGTTGTCCATATTTGACTCAAGTTGTGTCATGACTTAATGACCAAATAACCGGATAGCCTGTTTTTTTGACAAGTTATAGGAAAAAGAAATGAAAAATGCTAGGCATCTCCTACTAACTGTACTTTAAAGGTGAACCATAGATAGTCACCTCAAAACCTGAAATCGGTTCACCATGGTAAGCCATTAAGTGAGAATCCAGAAATGGAGAAACAAGCTTAATCAAAGCCCTCAAGGATTCTCAAAATGTAACATAGCACAGAAAAAGACCTGAGGAAGTAGAGCATTCATTTGCATATGCAGCACCTTTCTTTAGTCAGCAAGAAAAAAATATCGCTTCTTGGATCATTCATAACAAAAGACTGAAGCCGGATATACAAAAAAAAAAAAAGCAAGCAGGAGAACAGACTGATGTTCATTGGAACGAGAAACTTGTTTTCAGCTTTGGTCTTTGTCAGTTCTGTTTTATGTAAAAATACTATGGAAGAGTTCACACTGGTAAAAACAAAGTAAGCTTACAGGGCTAGGAATGGAATCTGGATCCAAGCGTTTGGGTGGAGGTGGTGGTCCAGGCTGCCTTCCATAATTTGGTGCTCCTGGATAGGCTGCTCCATAGTTTGGTTGAGGACCCCTCACCTGCCCAAAGGAACCTTTACAAGAAAAGAACAGCAAAATCAAACAGTGGCCAATACCAGTAATTTCGTTATTTGGCACTTCCCACTTTTCCTGTCGTTGTCAAAAAACCAAGCAAGTCACATGTTTTTCAGTTAATTAGGATTAAACACACTTACCAGTGTTTTGGGTTAGACCTGCACATCTCTATCAATGATCCAGTAAACTGATGGAGACAGTCCTCCTTAAAACCACACTTAAGGAAACACAAGGTTTTAGACTAACATAACTATTTTTAGAATAATATGACTACAATATGCATTAAGATCATGCACTATGGACATTTAAGTTAAATTGCAGAACTGCCTATCAGAAAATAAACACGGAACTGCCAAATAAGCTAGCAGATGACCCATAATTCCTCAAAATAAAGGTATGCAAGGAGTTTTCTCAGACAGTTTTGGCTTGCCTGAAATTAGAGTAGTAAGTTAATGTGTGATTAATCTATTTCATTTTGTAACTACCTGAAGTTATTTCATATTACTTTAGACAATTTCTTGCAGTTATGGAATACACCATGATATAATGCATTAGTGTTTCTACAGTTCATTGCGATTTGCACAGATATTTGTAAGTAATCTACCTGGCCAGTTGTGCAAAACTGCATGGGGAATGGATTCTCAGTCCTCAGGCCTGCACATTATTCCTTTATCCTAGCTATCTGTAAATGTTATTGATTAAAAATCAGCCAAAACCATTTATAATTCAGAAAGCTTAACTGATACTACTTACAAGCACAAACAAAATATGAAAGGTTCTACAAACGAAATGTCATAATAAAATTCTGATCACAAACCCCTGTAGTATTACAGCACTCACTACTAAATGACTTTTTAGCCAGGTACGCTAGGATTTCTTCAGTTACATTAAACTGATCGAAATCTGTATGACAAACATCTTAAAATGACACATCCTATTGTTTGTCTTGGATTTGTCTTTTACACATGAGCACAGGGAAACACTGAAATACCACCAAAAGTCCACAAGTAACAAAACGGAAATCCAGTTCTCAGTTTGCCGTACACAGAGAGCACGTATAGTGTACAATTTCTAGAGCAGGAATACTCACCGTTCTGCTGCATTTGGTATCCTGGCTGAGGAGGATGAGTCGGAGGAGGGGGTCCATGGAGGCCACTCATGGGAGGCCCAGGCTGTGGCCCTGACATAGATGTTGGAGGTGGTGGTGAGAATACATGATTAGGCTGGGACGCTGGTGGTCCAGCAGCTGTCTGCCCAGGCAGTGGTGGGCCTGGCATGGTAGGTGGCCTTGGGGCACCTGTGGTAGAAAGGAAAGAGGAAGGTCCAAACACTGCAGAAGAGGGAGAAAACTATTTAAAATAGCAAATATCAACACCCAGAGAATTCCAATCATCATATGGTAATGAATCATTGACAAGAGCAAATCTTTTATGAAATTACCAGCATAACTGAAAAGCAATAACATATTTCTGCAGCCAGGAAACCTCACCATATCCTAGTCCAGCTGGGGGAGGAGCAGAGGCTGCAATAGTGCCAATTGTCATCCCTGCCATGTGATTGCTGAGCTGCTGTACACTGGCTGGGGGTGGACCATATTGCTGGAACGTAGGTGTCTGGGTGACAGGCATGGATGCTGAGCCTGGCAGATACGGCTGAGAAGCAGGTGGCCTGAGAAGGAAGATGAGAAACGTCACTGGATTCCCCATTATACAAGCAGTTACAACTCTCTGTGCTTTAGAAACACTAGCTGAGTCTCAGTTATTTACATGAAGCACTCTAGCTCAGCTTTGGAAAAATAATTACATATCCTGCGTGGACTTCAATCCATTTCATTAAAAAAAAATAATATTCTGTTCTTAAAATACAAATCCTACATTTATAGCATTTTTTGTTAATTCCATTTTAGTTATAGCAACAAAACAGAAATACTGCCATGGAGGCTACAGGTGAGCAACAGTAAGACCTGCACAGTTATGTAAGAATGCTCTGTTGCTTTAAGGATTTCAAGACTGTGCTGACAGTGCTGAGCTTAAGCAGAGGGAAGCAAAAACCAATCACCTTACCCAAAACCAGTAATCAGAATGAAGCAGTGAGGGCTGCTGCTACTTTCACCACAAAGGTAATGCCAATATCTTTCTGGAGAAGAGCTTTACATGAAGATAGCTCAGGGGTCCGTAATGGACAGGAAAGGACCCAGAACCAATGCTAAGGAATTACTCAGTAATAACAAATAGCAACATGCTCTGGACAGAGATCAATTTACACTACCAAAGAATCAAATACTATGGCAGTGTGGATGCAATTGTTTTAAAAGAAGACAGACTATGAGAATCACAAAATTCTTTATGGGAAAATGACTACCACAAAGAAAGTCTTTGGAGAAGTGGTTTTGATCAGTCACTGACATCTACTCATTTCCTTCCAGAAGTTTTTAATCTGCAGAGATTCTTATTGTCTAATACCCCTATGACAAAACATTGTTCTAAAACAGTAAGTCAGCAATACAGAAAGTCAGCATCTACCACAGTAAAAACAACGTATGTAATTTGGTTTAGGTCCTAAAAGATCTAGATCTAGCACAGGTCTACCAAGGCATGCCTTTATTATGTACCTCTGCATCGGGGCTGCTGAGGTTGGAATCCCATTTTGCACATCTCCCTGTCCAAATGGACTGTATGTCAAGTGATCAGAAGGAAGAGATGCTCCAGATGTTGAAGGGGCTCTTAATGAGCCTACAGACATAAGGGGAAAAAAAAATAAAAAATCAATAAAAAAAATCACAACACAGAAGCAAGGGCTCGAACCATGAAAAATCCCAGAAATAAAAAGAAGTGCAGAAACAGTTTAGCAGTGGCAAAACTGCAGTATCAAAACTCCACAAGCAACAAATAATTTATACAACTATACTAGAAGTAGCAATACTAAAGCACAATTTTTTAGCCAGTCTCACTAGTCACCATCTTCATACAAACCAAGCAGAAAATGTTTATTGTGGAGGGTCTTCAATCGGTAACTTCATCTTCTGATGAAGGTTATCTTGGAGGGGGAAGAATTTAATACCTTACTGACAAGTCCAATTATTTTTATCCAGACCAAGGAGAGTATTCACATGGAACCTAACGTTTTTTACAGCTCAGTTTTCCCTTCTTGGAAGGTCAGCAGATCATGTGAGCAGATTCAGAAAATTACATCTAGTTGCTCATTAATGGGGGCCACCACTGTTCTTCCCCAGCTCTTGAGGCTGGAGGCTAACATGAATACTTTCTCATCTTTCAGACTGAGCTGGTTTAGTCACAGTTCAAACGTATTTGCCACAAAACCAAGTCTTCATGCTTTCCACAGACCACACAATGCTGGATACAATACCAGCAGACCAACCACAGTGTCTACCTCCAAAAAAGAGATTCTAAACTTCCATTTTAATATTATTAAGTCAAAAAGATGATAATTAGAACCACATGACCATTCCTGCTAACCACAAGAGAATGTATTTAATGTATGGGGTATCATTAAATACAGATGACTAAACAATGTAAACTTCCCCATGAGACCAAGGCAGCACATACACACTGTTGTGTACCTCTGACTGGCATGACAAGTTTAAAAGGGACTCTGAAACTTTGTTGTGATGAACCATTATGAAACAGGAAGTCAGAGGGGCCATTTCTCAATTCTGCAGTGTAATTTATACACCAAAGCATGAGGTTTCAATTTATACATTTTAATCTTATCTGTTACATGTAAATTCTTAGTAAGCTTGCGGACGTAAACTCAAGGAATGAATTAAACAGACCTTGTATGAATAACCAGTGATTTCTTGGAGCTTTTTTATTACAAAACCTCCTCCTGTTCGAGACATAGCATTTTAATTTTTTTCAGAGATACTTATTATCCTTATGTACCTTCATCACATTAAACCTTATATTTTCTAAACTACTGTTACAGCACCTTTGTCTTACCATTTCTCTGGCTAAGCATTTCCTGATCTCTTAACTATTTGTATGTTGTGTGGTATTTCTATTTCTGAATGTCTCTTGTGATACCCTTTCAGTTAACTTGGTATACTTTCACCTGTTTTGGAATCTCTTTCCTTTCATAGTACATGTAAACTGTTTGGCATTGTTACCTTCTGTCTCTGAAAGCATAATTTAATTAATGGTGGGATCCTACACATTTTTTTATATTAACTTTCCCCCGAACTTTAACAGATACACAATTTGACAAATACATGCTTACTTCAGAAAAAGCTCCTGAAAAGTCTTGCCCACAGACTTTAAGATTTTGCCCCAGTTCTGACTCCCTACTCATCTAAGCAAATTGATGCTGTTGGAAATAGCTCTTCTGAAATACCACTAGTTGGAAAGAAAGAAAAGTACAATGATTTCTTGCAGTGCTCCTTACATTTTGATTGCTACCTTTGCAAAAGTATTTCTTTCTTTAAGCCACAACTTTTGAAATCATAATCATTCCTAACATATACTTGGTTTCTATGCTAAAGCCAAGGAGACTAAAGACTTCCTTTTTCCCCTTAAATGAAAGCACAAGTTACAAAAATCTCATGACCGCCAGTAACAACCTCCTGGTGCTGAGGAAGAATTTTCATTTCTTCATTGCATGTTACCATTTCTAACCTCATGTTTTAGTCCTCTCTCAAGTGGGAGGCTGCCTTCTTTTAAACTAAGGATTCACCCTGACAGAACCTAAACAGGCCAATTCAGGTTTTGAAATCAGTCTTCAGAAAACATTAGTCACAAGTCAGGTTTTATCTATGAATCTGCAGGCATAAGGGATTTCTACTAGGATTATTTCTTCATATCCCATTTATGTATTTGGAGTGCTGCCTACAAATTGACTGGGAAGTGTCCCACCCACCTCTGCCTGAATAATCAGGTATCCACACCTTTGAGATAAATATCCATATTAAATAGGAACTTTGCACAAAAGAAGCAGCACAAGCACTCTCACGAAAAGAACACCATTTACCTATGAAATTAGGAGCAAGAGAAGAAGTGTCAGAGTTGACAGAAACAGGAGAGCCCTTCGAAGGGAACCCCAAGGAAGGAAAGTAACCTGGAAAGACAGAATACACCAGTGAATCAAGCCTCAGAGAAGCACCAAGAGACGGTGTTTCCAATGCTAAAGACAGTTTGCAGTACAGAAAACATCATATGCATAAAATCCAAACCACGTTTACCACATAATTCCTTAAGCTATACTCCCTCTCACTCTTCTACCAAGCATAACATGTATTACCAACACAGTTCATATATTAATACAAGTGTTAACAGTATTGTAAACTGAGTCCATGTAAAACAATCCAGAAGCAGCCTAATTGTGACTGGTATTCAGGTAACTGTGTTTGCACTTTCAACTGCATGATCTCATTAGAAAGAAACCGTTCAAAGGAAGGTGGTGAGAAATTGTCCTGGTTCTTTCAGTGTTCTCACAGAAAGAAGCAGCTATTTTCAGCTATCAGCACAGTACTCCACTTCTGGTCCCAAGCAAGACTAGCATCACTGGCACAGCATTCCCATATTTCCATTGGTGAGAGCTAGAGTTTGTCACATAAATCAGATACAAAGGACTCCCTGATTGAGGATGGCATCTGCTACCAACACTTATTCCACTCAGTCCTCCAGGCTATTTTGTTGTTGTTTTTAAAATAAATCCCTAAGACAACTACTTAGAGATCACAGATTAACATTGGCAGTTTTCCTTTTACCACTCAGTGTTCCCTAAATTGCTGTCACTCTAGCGCCTCCAAAAATAATTCTCTTCTCTCTACAGTATGCAGCTACAACAGGTCTTTCTACAACGACCTGCAATAAACATAACATGTTGGAGATGGAGGTAGAAAAAATAACTGTTAATATCTTCAGTACCATCGGTATGCTTTCTCTGATAATGCATTGTTTGCCACTCTCTTCTTCTTGGCTATCCTATTCAGCAGCCATTAACAGGTCAACTTCTGGCTGTTCTGCTAGTGCTCCAAATTTTACATTCCTTCTTTCTAAAGACAGGAATCCTGGATTTACAGTAACAGTCCAAAATGCACAATGTGACAACTGAGATTCCCTTAACACAGTCTGCTACACCTGGGAAGGATGGTCTCAGAAACAGATGGAAGAAAAATCTCCACAAACCATGGGTGATGTTAGCCTGATTCATCAATAAATGACATGAGATACTACTTAAGAGTAGAGCAATACGTTTTTGTTGTCCAAATGAGGCCACCTAGTTGCCCTCAGTGTCACAATACCTTTCAATCGTTGGCGCAAACAAAATCTGCACTTTTAATCTGCATAAGTTCACATACCAAGCTTTCTAGGTATGTTCTTACTGAGCTGTCATAACCACATTTCTGCTGTTCTAAAATTAAAAAAAGCAAACCAGAAATAATTCAGAAGGAAGAAAGTTAATTCCCTTAAAAATAATTGCTTTTCAGATTTGTAGAGCCTGAAAGTTGTTGAAGGACCTGATAGAAGATGCCCATCAGTTTCTTTTCACAAACACCCTAAACATTCTTCGCACTGCTAACAGCCAAAACCTGCTTTCTATAAACAGTTGCACTGATGAAACTTTTCCAACAAATCCACAGTCATCTTTGTCCTTCTTGAATCTCCTCTCCCTCACTGAAACAAGTCCAATTTTTCCCCGTTCCTTCTATGGAACAGGAAACACTAGTAAGTCAATGCCTACATTGAGCAGCCAAACAGCACTCAATGGCTGTACCCTGCCTCTGTCTTCCCAGCAGGCAGGGTTTCTTTCCTCTGCCCAGTACGGATTTTCGTTACTTTCATAGGAATGTAAATCCTCCATGAAATTAGTTCACAACTCATAGATTAAAAGTGCTGTTGTAAGAGATTCATTGAGAGGATGGAAGGAAGAGGATTAAGGAAAGAAAAGGAAGATGGAGCAACTGAATGATCTATTTTTTAGCACACCATGCTAATTCTTCTACTTCATTACCATGCTAACTTCAGACAGAAAAACCCAACAGAGTAATTATTCAGCTCCCAACTTTCAGGCTCCCACTTCTGTTAATTGCAAGACAACTATAGGCACTTTGATTGTTCTGTCCTTCTCACCAATTTTTAAGATTCAAGAAGTTGGGAAAAAAATAAATAAATAAATAAATAAAAAAATCAAGATGTACCTGGAGGGGAGAACAATACAGAGACCATTAGTATGATTAGCATATTACTCAACTTCCCCTCAATACCAATCTGAAGTCAAAACAAACACTTCAAAGTGAAAGTGCTTATTCTGGTAGATTTGAATTCATTCACCTGATTTTGAAAGGCAGAAATACTCCTACTCAGCGCATAGTACTTTCTCCTCCACATGTCAGATGTTAATGTCACTATGAATCTCCCAAAGCGCTTCAAATACTCAGAAACAAAGACTCCAAAAGTTCTTTAGTAATTTTAAATTAGCCTTTATTTTGAAGACAGGTAAGAAAAGTTAAAACGACTTTGTTTGGTGGCTTTTTGGGTTTTTTTTTGTGGTTGTTTGGGATTTCTATTTATTGTTGTTATTTAGTTTTAAATAAACAAATTCAACAAGCCATATGACCCTGCAGAACCAGGGAAACTCCAGAACACATTAGCTTAGAATCATACAACCATAGCTTGCCACATGTTCACAAACTTTCTATTGATTTTAAAGGCATTTGAGAATACAGCTCCAAATATGCTTCCTGCCTAGAGTTGTATGTCTAGATCTTTCACAATGGCATGGAGAACTTTCTTTAATAGTAATGTAAGGGAGTCTCAATTATAAATCTTTTACAGTCACTACCTGCTGCCCCTCAATGCAACCTCATCAGGAAGATTGTTCTAGTCGGGTGCTTCAGTATCATGGGGGAGGGCCATGCAATAAAAATAAAAGGCAGGCTGTGCTTCTCAACATGTCAATTTTATGAGCTATTAAAAGAAGTGTGAAAGAAGTGGACAAATGACAGAACAGCAACCTCATAATGTACAGGAGGAACATGAGTTTTAACATCACGTAAGATATATACAGAAGGAATAATAATTGCTGACACAAAAGAGAGAGTAATAATAAGTATACAGAAGAAATCCCCCCCACACAACAATTCAAGTTATCAATCATTAAGTTTTGCCTGAGAATTACCTTGTGGAGGGGCTGGCTGTTGATATCCTGGCATCGGACCATTATAAGCTCCATACTGCAATTGAGGAACCCCTGGCAATGGCTGTCCTCCGTAGGCAGGCTGCTGGTATCCCTGATATCCAGGCTGAGGTCGCCCGTAAGGAGGCCCTGTGTGAGCTGGCTGGTTTACACTCATTGTATTCACATCCCCAAACTAATCTCACCTGCAAAAAGCGGGGGAAAGATGACTTTTAGCAGACATAAAACCAAACTGGCCAACTTCTCTACTGGTTTTACAGGAATAAGAGCTCCCAAGACCCTAGGGAAGGTGAAACATTAATGGTAATATACACTCGCACAGCATGATTTTCAAGTAAGATAAATGCTTTAAAAGAGGTAGTTAGAAAACAGTATTTTAAGAAACTAGATTTTCTAATAAACTTATTCACTGCTTCATCCTGGCTAGACTTGTGATCATCATCGCAGGCAAATCTTACAATACCATGGTACCAAGCAAGCAGGTAAGCCATAGAGCCCCTGAACTGTGGAGACCCAAGGAGATGACTTCACGGTCTACCTCTCAAGGATACTTCGCATCTCCTGTACTCCTTTGAATGCTCCATATATTACTGTTACCCGCTTCAGTAAGACTATCTACACTGACATTGTAAAGAAATGTGTGTTTATGGAATTTAAGTTTTTACTTTAAAAAAAAAATCCAGTTTATATAAAAATGCAAAGTTAAGGTAAAGGAAATAATTCATGATGCCCTGATATTTTACTCCAAACCCTATGATGAACTTGTGCATTGCAGATACATAGTGAATATTCACACAGAAGAGACATAAGCTGCAATAACCACCAGCTAGTTGAGGCAAATCCCAAGAAGGAACCTACAGCTTAACTCAAGTGGATAACAAACACCCGAGCTGTTTTGCCTATACATTGATTAGCATATGCCAACCAATGCTAAGGTTGGTTCTTCACATAACCGAAAACATGATGTCAAAAGAATTACTTCAACAACTGACACCACAGTTAAACCTACAATAACTACAGCTCTGTAAGAGCCATACACACAGAAATTCTTTCAGATCCATATATATAAAGGGAAGATATAATAAATCAGAGAGTGATGTAATTATTTAGAGAAGAAAGCTAGCATAATACACACATGACATTTAACCTCCTACAGCTGGTAAACATGACAAATGTCAATACTAAGAACACTAATGCTTATTCTGAAATTAGATATTAAACCTTATATGAAAGCAAATAAATGAAGTTTTATATTTTTAGTCTTCAAACTGTATGAAGGTAATAAGGTTTTTGTTTAGAAAAAGAACTTAAATATTTAAAGGAAATTTGTTCTAGAAACTAGCATATGTAATTTGCAACAGCTTACAACAGTGCGAGAGAATTTTTGATCATCCTGCAGTGTTTTTAAACACGATTACACAAGATACACATGATAGCAAGAGAGTAATTTCTAAAGATTCTGGTTTCCCATACTACCTTTGACTTAGTTCTGCAGAACAGTCTAACCTGAGCAGCTATGGAGCTAGGAAATACGGACTTTGGGACCTGCTCACTTCCCAAGTTCCCTTGAAGGTTAACCTCTTCCTTACCACACTGCAATCACAGACCTATCTCCAACCACCTCTTTTTCAGTGCAAACAGTAAAGGAGGAAAGTTCCTCTTGCAAAGGTGCATGGTAAAGGAAGACTGATCTACCCGCACATCTTGGAACATCTAGGCATGGCTTTCTGCCAAGGAAGGAGGTCTGCTTCCTCTTCTTTTTGCCCCTGACTGGCTTATTGAATTGCACTCACTTTGATGATCAAACACCCCCCATCACACACATGAGGAACCTGGCTTCTAGTAACTGGTCTACAAACAGCTCCTTCATCCAGTAAGAGCTGCAGGCAAAGTAACAGCATCCTGCAGGTACTTCCTGAGCTATAATCATTAAGACACTCTTCACAAGTAACACCTACAGAAATCCCTTAACAGATCTAGTGTTTGAAGAGGAATTAGCACAGGGGAGGAGACCAATCCTTAATGCTTTTTTTCTATTTTTTTTTAAGCACAATGGGGGAAGAACTCAAGCATGTACCTTGCAAACCACTTCTGACTTACTGTTGTGAGTTTATACTCAGTAAGTGATCCTACCTGATGATCTTTTACTTATCTCTTTTCATCCTTCTCATGTGAATATTGGTATTTCCCACTTGAGCAGGCAGTATCTGTTGGCTTGCTGCTCTTTGTACAATAACACTGAAACCAAGAGGTAAGCTCATTTAATGCAAGTCTTACAGAGAAAGAGAGTTTTGAGATCATTTCCTACACTTTCTATGGAAAAAGCAGCTACAGAAAGGAGATGGTTCTACCTTAGAGTTCCAACCGAGAAAGAATGGCAGATATACCTCAGACCTTTAGCTAGCCCATGTGGCAGCCTGCAGAGGCTTATCTCCACTGTAACACAAGCTCTATACTGGCAGAGGGTTAAGGGGAGAGCTGTAGAAGCAGAAGGAAATTCAAGTACAAGGCTGGTGTTGAAGCTGGGGACAAGGCTGCTTCATTATTTTGGTTGCTCAACTTGGTCTAAACTTAAGGCTAGTGGCACGCTTGCTCATCACTCATGTGGAATACCATAAAGGGCAGGGCCAAGAGTATCTACCTCTGAGAAGGTGGAAGAGAGTTGTCATTAAATGAGTCCATTTTCCTTCTCTCCCAGTACAAGTCATTTGTATCAAACAGCATTCATTTTGTCTCCACTCAAAATATACCCATGTAAACTAGAACCTGGTCACTTGAATAGATACAGGGAAAAGGAGAATTTTATGTTTTGTTTTATGACACGAAGAAAACGTAAAACCTCAAAGAATGCAATGCGTTTACCAGATAGGAAGAAGTAGAGAAAACAGGCTGTTTCACTTGATGAAAATATTGAGGATATTCCTTTGCATGTAGTAACACTGTATTAAAATATGCTGTTGAGCTGAACAGTTACAATACATAAAGCTCAAATAGGAATGACTTGTGCTATTGGGAAAACACCATGACAATTTTCCTGCGAAACATGACGCAGTCACTCCATGCTGTTTTCTATTCATAGAATCATAGAACAGTTAGGGTTGGAAAGGACCTTAAGATCATCAAGTTCCAGCCCCCTGCCATGGGCAGGGACACCTCACACTAAACCATACAACCCAAGGCTTTGTCCAACCTGGGATGGAGCATTCACAACCTCCCTGGGCAACCCATTCCAGTGCCTCACCACCCTCACAGGAAAGAACTTCCTCCTTATATCCAATCTAAACTTCCCCTGTTTAAGTTTGAACCTGTTACCCCTTGTCCTATCACTACAGTCCCTAATGAAGAGTCCCTCCCCAGCATCCTTGTAGGCCCCCTTTGGATACTGGAAGGCTGCTATGAGATCTCCATGCAGCCTTCTCTTCTCCAGGCTGAACAGCCCCAACTTTCTCAGCCTATCTTCATATGAGAGGTGCTCCAGTCCCCTGATCATCCTCATGGCCCTCCTCTGGAATTGTTCCAACAGTTCCATGTCCTTTTTATGTTGAGGACACCAGAACTGCACACAATACTCCCAAGTGAGGTCTCACGAGAGCAGAATAAAGGGGCAGGATCACCTCCTTCGACCTGCTGGTCACGCTCCTTTTGATGCAGCCCAGGATATTTCTGGGCTGCAAGTGCACACTGCCGGCTCATGTTCATTTTCTCATTGACCAGCACCCCAAGTCCTTCTCCGCAGGGCTGCTCTGAATCTCTTCTCTGCCCAGCCTGTAGCTGTATCTGGGATTGCTCCGACCAAGGTGTAGGACCTTGCACCTGGCATGGATAAACTCCATGAGGTTGGCATCAGCCCACCTCACAAGCGTGTTAAGGCCCCTCTGGATGGCATTCCTTCCCTCCAGCGTATCAACTGAACCACACAGCTTGGTGTCACTGGCAAACTTGCTGAGGGAGCACTCAATCCCACTGTCCATGTCAGCGACAAAGATGTTAAACAAGACTGGTCCCAAGACCGATCCCTGAGGGACACCACTCATTACTGCATAAAGGCAGTTTATCATAGAAGTTTTGGTCAAAATAGGTACACAGCTAAAACTCATACTGGAAAGAGAGAGAACCAGTGCTGAACAGCAGTGAATGGATGGGATAAAAATTAACAGTAATATGGGGTAGGGGGGAAGAGGTGTCTTAACTTCTACAATAGTTTCCAGAATCCTTAATATCCAAACAAAGCACACTACAGTGCAGTTTTTATGGTCTGTTAAAAGAAAAAATAAATTCACAAACACTAGTGATTCACACAAGCTTGTTTCAATCAGCAATCCTCCCAAATCATCAAAACCTGCATATTCATCATTTTTTATAGTTCGCATTCACTATTAATTCCCTTTTGAAACTGAAAAGCTTGATCTCATCAGCTCTTTATGGCTTTCTATAGGAAACACAGCAAAATTACTTTCCTTCAGAAAGATGCTAGTGCCTTTTTTACTGGTACCAAGGAAAAAAGAAGGGTGGTTTATTTGAACTTCTGGGGAGACGGATACTTAAAAATGGGGGCAAAAGACAAACCCAAACAGCAAACCAAACCACAAAAAAAAAAAAAACCAAAAAACAAAAAACAAAAACCACCCCCCAAAACAAAACAAAAAACCACAACACCAAGCCCCCCAGCCAACAGCATGGCATCCTATATTATGGTGAAACTATGAAACAGAAGGAAATGTCTACTTAATTTCTGAACACAGAAATCAAAATAATTTTCAAAAGATAGGACAAAAAGGGATAGCCTGCATCCTCAAGAAATCAGTTCAGAGTGTTACCTATAGTGCTTTTACTGCTTCCATTCTGCAGCTTTATGGAAAAGTAGCAAAGTTATGCTATTCTTATTGAAGATCTAGACTGAACAACTTCTAGCTAAGAACACTGGTCTGCAAGGCAGATGCCCCTGCTTTTGTTTCACCAACAGCCTGACTAGGTACTCTACAAGAACTTACAGAACATTTGATTCTTTTCAGATAAAAGAAACTCCTGTTTTGTTTTTTTCTACAGAAAACTCTAGAAGAGAAGCTCATATCCTGGAAGTTAAGAGACTGGTAACCACTCTGGAAGCACTCAGGTCATTATTACAAATGCCACCCATGTTTGTCCAAAACAATCCAAATGGCACTACTGACCTGGCCCCCCAAATTGGTTGTACTTTCGTGGTGTTCTATCTTTCCCCTGGGCAGAATCTCAACTTGTGACACATAGTTAGTATATTCTTCTTCTATGCATTTGGAGTCACTGCCAGAAACATCTATTTTAACAGCTCACGAGAGGCATATTGCACAGTTTTCAGAACATAAATGTTACAATCTAGTATCAGTGAAAATCCAGAAGCCAGCATGTTTTCACTGAGGACACCTTCAGGAGAAGAACGGGTGGGTTTGCTGCTAAAACTTCTTGACACGAGAGGTACTAGAGCAGATTTTTGCAGACCAGTCATTCCTGGGCTGATTCAAAAAGGTCTTTCAGGCTTCAGGACAGAAAAAACACAGTTTGCACCCAAGATGTGATCACTTCTATGTTGTTTCAAAGAAGGGCCACATTAAACCTAGTTTTGTTAGGCTGATTCATCATTTGGGCAAGGTCCTAAACAACATACAAGTTATGAGAGTAAACTGGTAAAAAAATGACACACACAAAAAAATATCTTAACGGTAGGTTTAAGCTTAGGTCAAGACTATTTCCAACCCCTGCCACCACAACCACATTTTTACTTCAGTAACACAGAATCACAGAATGGTTTGTGTTGGAAGGGACTGTAAAGATCATCTAGTTCTAAACCCCTGACATGGGAAGGGACACCTTCCACTAGACTAGATTTCTCAAAGCCCCATTCAACATGCTTTTGAACATTTCCAGGGATGGGGCACCCATCCCAGCTTCTCTGGGCAACCTGTTCCACTATCTCACCACCCTCACAGTAAAGAATTTCTTTCCAATGTTTCTAATCCAAAACTCTCTGCTAGTTTAAAGCCATCTCCCTTGTCTCATTCCTAAATGTCCCTGTTAGAAAGTCTCTCTTCAGCTTTCTCATAGGCCCGTTTAGGTACTGGAAGACTGTTACAAGGTTTCCCTGGAGCCTTCTCTTCTCCAAGCTGAACAGCCCCAACTCTCTCATCCTGTCTTCATAGGAAAGGTGCTCCAGCCCCCAGTAATCTTTGTGGCCCTCCTCTGGACTTGCTTCAGTGGGTCCACATTCTTCTTGTGCTGGGGGCTCCAAAACTGGACACAGTAGTCCATGTAGTGTCTCACGAGAGAGGAGTAGAGGGGGAGGATCACCCTGTCTCCTCGTGGGGCTGATTTACACCTCTCTCTCTGTAATAAAGGTCTATGAAAATATTTCAAACCCACTCAGTTATAGACCCTGCTTCTGGAGAGCAATCCTGGGGAGGCAGAAATTATGGAAAATGTGCCATTAACAAAATTGCAGTGAAAGATTTCTCTCTTCCTTTGCTACCTGTATATATGTGTTGCAACGTGTGAAGCCACCTGGCTCATTTCTGTGAACTTTGCACAAGTGTAATTGATTAGGAAAAGTTACAAGGATAGTTTAAAGTTTAGAGAAGAGGCCAGAAGGAAGAATGGAGGAACAGGAATATATAGAATAAGACTTAAAAATCATGTTATAGTACTAAACAAGTTTTTCTTCAAATACATTTAACACTGGACACCTTTCATTCAAAACTTCCGTACTCTTGACTTCCTCTACACAAAAATGCACCACACAAATCCCATCACTCACAAGAAACAAAAAAGCTTAGAATTAGCTTTTCGTAATGCATACTGCCCAGTTTATACTGACTTTAGTGCTTTCTATACTAACAATGGATCTTGCTGAACATATGGGAACAAGCTCTGTTTTCATAATTTATCACTAATAAAATTTTTCAGACCTAAAGAGCAAGAAAAATCTACCTCTTCTCTTCTGGGGAGACCTTGCTGCTGATCACTTTCAGTCACTCTTTGTACCTTGCCCTTCCTTTAGCCAACCATCAATTCTTTCTTGGATTTTTGACCCTCCTTCTGATTAATAAGCGTTACAGGAAGAAAATATAGTCCTACAGTAGCAGAAGAAAACATTCACAGCAGTACAAGCATCAAACGGCTCGTTAAAGGAATAATCCTTTAGACATCTGTTCACTGCTATAACTCAGCTTTCAGCCATGAAATTAGAACCTGGAGAGAATGTCACAGCGCATTAAGAAGAAATATTCCTTACATCAATGTTCACTTCACAGTCTGTCTATATCAATAAAGAAACCTGAGTGGTACAGCTTCAAGCCGAACAGGGTAGTTCCAGAAGTAAGAACCTTTTCTACACAAAAAAAGGACAGAAATGCTTATGATTCCACACATAGTGTATACACATGATTGAAGGTGAGTCTCCTCTAAAGAGAAAGGGTCTGGAGTTCTAGGCCACATGTATTTCTATCCAACCAATAACCAGAACACGTACTCTGTGAGAAGGGGGAAGGGGGTGGAAGAAAGAGGTAAAAGCTCAAGTTCCCTAAACCTACTCAGGACAACTTCATATTAATAAACATTGAAGACTTTAGGATAAACCCAGCAACAAGTAATCTCCTATTTTTGTGGTGTGAATTTGCACTGCTTGTAAACAACTACAACAAAAAGGCACTGCATACTGGGTCTCAGATGGTCATTTCTCTGAAGTTGACTAACAAGGGGTAATGGGTTAAAACTTAAACAGGGGAAGTTTAGATTGGATATAAGGAGGAAATTCTTTCCTGTTAGGGTGGCGAGGCACTGGAATAGGTTGCCCAAGGAGGTTGTGAATGCTCCATCCCTGGCAGTGCTCAAGACCAGGCTGGACGAGGCCTTGGGTGATATGGTTTAGAGCGAGGTGTCTCGGCCCATGGCAGGGGGGTTGGAACTTGATGATCTTAAGGTCCTTTCCACCCCTAACTATTCTATGATTCTATGATCCCTCTAACAGGAAAGGATTTATAAATATTTTTATGGAACTATCACATTAATGGCTAAAATTCAACACTGAGTACCGAAGTGAAAAAAAAACAACAAAAAAAAATCAGTATTTTAACATGATATTACAAATATTAACTCTAGTGGAAGACTTCTGATGAAGGTGTAAGTACTTCACCTACATTTCAGCAACCATTTCCGTCAGCTAGTACGTTTACATAGAACTTCGACTACAGTGTGACAGCTACCAGAGGCCTAGTTTGTATGGTTTTGCAAAGTGTCTTTGATAAAGACTTAAGACACCATATGCACATACTTAAAAACACTGAAGTACCTCCCGAGAATAAGAAGAAATGAAACTAACCTTTATTCTACTCCAAAGACCATTGCTCGAAAGAGTCAAAGCAAACTCCAACAATACAAACCAAACATGTTTAAAGCATCACCTACATGGAAAACAAGAATCCATCCACTTTTCCCAAAACTACATTTATAATTTGGTCATGTCGCCTCCATTCCTTTCCTTCTTTCTTTTTCAACGACACAGACAGACAATCCCTAATTTTTACTACTAAACTCAATCTCCCTGCGGGACGACCATCCTTTGCAAGCCTCGAATGAATGGGAGCTTGAACAGCTCGACACATACACTGGGGTAAGGATTCGCGGATTACAAGAGACTGGGGACGCTGCAGAGGCAGTATGCGCCTCACCGCGCACCCGGGCCGAAAACAAGCGCTCAGCTATACAAGCGGGTGCGACGGCCGGACTCGTAGTCCCCGCAACTCCCCGCACCATACTTGGACGCCGGATGGTCCCCTCCAGGCACTGCAGGACGAGGCCCCGCCGACAGCCGGCTCCGACCCCACTGGGCCGAACGGGGCCGCTAGCGATAAGAGGCGCCCCCACCCACATTACTGAGGAAGACCCGGGCCCCTGCAAAGGCCGGGCGTGGCGCGTAGGCACGGCAGGCCCGACGTACTACCCGGCTGGGCGCCACCAGGCCTCATCTCCTTGGCGTGGAACGAAGCGACGGCAGCGCCTCAGACTCGGGCCGCGGCCGGGCCGCCGCACCAGCCAGCACCGGGTACCTCCGCGGCCGCCACCAGCAAAGCCAATCACCCTCCGCAGAGCCTCACTCACCGCCGCTGCCCACCTCTCCCGGCGCTGCTGCTCGACCCGCTTCCGGTTTCCGACACCGCCGCTCCCCCGCCCGCTGCCTGCCACGTCTACACTCCCCGCCAACCCCCGGCCGCCACCGCGCCCCACCCAGTGGGGCCCGGATGCGGCGCAGGCGCCGTGCGCCGCGACCGCGGGCGTTGACGTGGGTCCGGGAGCGCACGCCAGCAGCGGCGTTCCTCAGTCTTGACGGAGGGCTTTGCGCGCCGCTCCGTTGGCGGGCGGTTGTCCGGAAGTGCCGGGCGCCAGCAGTCGGGGGTTCCAACCGCCGCCCCGACAGCGGTTGTTGTCGGGGCGCGGAGGCCGCAGCCGCCTTCGCACTTCCCTCGGGCGCCGGGCAGCGCAGGGAGAAGGCTGTTGAGGGGCTGCTGTGGCTGTGGTGGGGGCAGAGTCCTCACGTCGATTGCATAGTCCGAGAACCCGGGATCCGGCGCTGCTCAGCCTCAGCCCGTGCTAAGCAGGGTGCCCTTGGCTGCTTGTCCCGTCAGCGGCCTCCGAAAAAACACGACTTGGGAGCACACGGAGCCAGTTTCGCAATGTGGTGGGGGAGTTGTGCTCTACCTAGTGGTGGTTGTTCCTATGTGCTCAGCAGCACCATGCAGTGGCACTGGGTGAGCAGTTGAGTAGGCAGCCAAACAAAATTGCGTCCTATGGATGTTGCAGTACAAAGGTATACCACAGAGATCTGTAAGATACTTACTAGTCACTGAGAACTAAGCACATGCAGAATAAGGAAGAGTTTGTGCTCGGGATCTTAACAGGAAATTATGCTGTAAGCCCTGTAGCAAACAAAAAAGAAATGGATTTTATTTTCCCTTATAATTCCAAGGGATCAAGGTGGCTTGGGTTAGCAAGGAGGTCTTGTCTGTCATGGCCCTAAAAGAGAAAACGGTGAAGGAGGAGACCCACTTGGAGTACTGCATCCAGCTCTGGAGCCTGAAGTTCAGAAAAAAGCTGTAGACTTTTTGGGGTAGGTCCAGAGAAGGGCTGCAAAAATGATCAGAGGCATGAACGCCTTTCTTATGAAGACAGGCTGAGAGAGCTGAGGTTGTTCAGCCTGGAGAAAGCTCCAGGGAGACCATACTGCAACTTTCCAGTACTTAAAGAGAGCTTATAAGAAAGATAGGGCCAGGCTTTTTAGTACAGCTTGTAGGACGAGAGATAATGGCTTTAAACTAAAAGAGGGTCAATTTAGATTACATATAAGGAAGAATTTTTTTTTTACATTAAGGGTGGTAAAACACTGGAACAGGAACAGGTTGCTCAGAGAGGTGGTAGATTCTCACCCCTGGAAACATTCAAGGCCAGGATGGAGGGGCTCTGAGCAACCTGGTCTAGCTGAAGATGGCCCTTAAAAAGTCCCTTTAAAAGTCCTTTCCCACCCAAACCATTCTGTGATTCTGTGACCCTGATGCAAAGCCATTCTCTTGGCCACTGAGGAGTCCATGTATGTGGTGCCCTGCAGAGAACTGTCTGAATCCCATCTGTGTAGCTAATCCTGGCTATTCTGGTCCCAGTGTCTAATATTAGGAATGGCTGTAGGGGATGTCAGGGAGCAGCAAGCTGCAGAGGGAGCACATCACATCTATAACCTGCCTGTGGTTTTCAGAGCAGACACATGGTGTTACTGTGTAGTAACAGTAGCTGCATGGAGAAAACAAGTGCAGAGCACATCACTTGCAAGCTGTTTTTGTTTAGTTTCTTAGGTGCTATCATTTGATATTGTACGAGTTTGTGCCTGCGTCATATCCTTGCCTGAAACTCATACTAATGAATCCTGAGAGCTGGATGACTCCAGGATTTGCATTTGGAATGGGAAGTGGAAATAAAGTTTTTACTGAAATGCTTCCAGCCTGAAGAGTGTCAGACAAAGCTATGGAGAAACAGGAGGTGTGCTATTTTCAGCCATGCTCCGGTGAGAGATCAGTCGTGTATGCGGAGGGGGGGACACAGAGGGTGAGATTGACATGACACGTGTGTCAGACAACTCTGGCCCCTTACCAAGAGCAGAATCAAATGTCTAATCATAGGCAGAGCAGCAGCTGGTTGTCCAGAAGAGCAGTGAAGGCTGGGCTTGACAGTCTCAACTCTCCTCTTGTGTGTGTGAACTTGAAGGAGAAAGTGTGCACAGGGCCTTTTGGGGGATCGGAGTGTTGTGTGAATTTTGAAGATGGGAGTAGAAGATACTGCGTGTTAAGAACTGGAGTCTGTTTTGAAGTTGGGAAGACAAAATATCCAAAGCATAGAAATCATGGGAGCTGAAGAAGAAATGCTCATCACTCTGTCTGGAGGTGCCCCCTGGGGCTTCCGGTTGCAAGGGGGTTCAGAGCAGAAACGGCCCCTTCAGGTGTCAAAGGTAGGACTTTGAGATGTGAACTGTGAAAGCAGAGTTCTACTGAACTCAGATATCCCTTCTGAGTTGGGCATCTTTCACTGCTGTTAAGGAATGCAGGAACTCCTTTCTGTGACAGCAGATCCTAAAAGGAAAACCTGGGTGGAATGATCAAGCAGGGTGTGGGGTGGGTCCTGAAACAGATGCTGTTGAGGTAAAGACAAGTGTTTGGTGAAGATCTGTGTCTGTGCAGATCTGTACAGCTCAGGCATTTTATAATGTGTACAGCTCTCCCCAATTGTCAGCAGACATATAAACATAGTGACTGTGCAGGAACAAGGGCTAAAATGTGGAAGCTTCAGTACTCTTGTAAGACATCCAACAAAACAAAAAATAAATTGAAGCAACAAAAGTCATATTTGCAATTTAACTGTCCCTAACACTGCATTACTATATTCCAGCTTTCAAAATATATGCACATTTCTTACGGTCTCTTCTGTTGGCAAAACTTTCTCAATATTGTCTGAAGTGAATATTTTTAATGCTCTAAAGCAGCAAATATTGGTTCCATTTCAAGAATTAAAGAAAAGCCGTTGATTGGATGGGAGATGAAATAATAAAAAAGAAGTGAGAACCTTGAGTTGCACTACTTTTGATAAGCAACTGTTACTGATCTCTTTCATAAAGACTAGTGAGTAGCTTAAAATTAGGAATAAAAGTCCCCCATTTACTAAGCTCCTAACAGCTGCATTAGCCTTGACACAATGATACCTTGGGATGTCTCACTGGAAGGTACCGACCAACAGGAATGAAAAAATGCTGTGCTCAGGTCCTTTTGTTTCCTTAAGTAGACTGCTTCTGACAGAGAAGTTTAAAATGAAATGTTCTGTGTCATTTGGCTCACCTCAGGTCAAGAAGTGTTTGTGTGTAACTTCTGCCAGATGATTTGAAATCCCATAGCTTGACCCTGAAGTGGATGTTTCTTACATAGAGAAAGATTATTTTTCACCATGAAAACAACTTTAGTGCATACACATAGACCTTCAGGTACTGAAAAGAAAGAACCAATATAATTTAAACAGGTATCTGGCATCAGTCGTTGTTAGGAAAATGGGATTTTCAGTGGTCACATAAGATTTGTAGGGTCTAGGGTTATTTTGACTCGTTTTTTTTCTTCCCAAATAGATAAGAAATTGGAACTGGAAAGAGAGGAGATACTGAATGTCTTATAAAGGATTGAACAGGGGTGAGAAGCAGCTATTACTCAGGCTACGTTGCACCTTAAGGTGAATGGAATCTTGCTCAAAGATTAGTAGCACTTCCAGAAAGGTATTAACTAGGAATTAAGGTATGACACCCAAAACTGGGTGTCTTACATTAAGTCTAGCATATTGCATAAAAAAGTAATTATGGAATATGTAATTGGTACAAATCCATTTGAGTCTCAAAGTGTACACCATTCTTCAAGCAGGACTTTGATTTTGTGATTATTGCTGTGGGTTATTATTGTCCAGAATTTAATGGCATCCAGGTGACCATACATGCTCACTGTCTTAAAGGCAACACCATTTAAACAGTCTCCAAAGAACGGATTTATAGATCCTTACCAGAAATCAGTAAGATTGTATCTGAATGTCATGGAATAACTCAATTGTCCTCCTCTTAGTGTGGAGGGAGCAGAAGTTTGAATCTCAGGTTTTGTCTCTTTGAGTTGAAAGATGAACTCTTCATTCTCCTGCAGTTAGGATTCTACTATTGACACCAGCAGGATGAAGTGTGGGCCAAAATGCTGCCTGTAAAGCACCTTCAAAAACTCTTAATATCATTGGCACTGTTTGTTTGGTTATTTTAGGAGCCAAAGATGGGAATGATCCCATTGCAAAAGAAGCCTGAGCTGGGATTGTGCCTGTATGGTATAGCACAGAGAAACAGAGCAGTACTGTCTGTTTATGAGTTTGTTAGAGCGGGGATTCACTTGGATGAGCAATTTGCTCTGTTTGGCCTCCATCCAGGAGATGAGTGCCACTGGGCAGCACTGGGAAGTGTGGTCAGATGGAGGTGTCACTGGGAATGAGCCTGCCTAGCAGAGGTAAGGTCAAATAATGACACCATGTTCATTAGTACAGTGAAGAATGTGTTGTGCGTATATGAACAGACAGATTAGATAAACGAGAGGGTCTATTAGTAAGCAGATTGCTCTCAAATGAAGGACTCTTGGGGAGAAAGAGAAGCGTTCATATGAGACCAAGAAAACTTTGGCTTAGCAGAACGTAAATACTAGTGCTTTGGTTCTTTCAGCAAAACCTATTTGGACAGAATGGGGAAGGACAGAACAGGAACATGGATGAATCTGGAGAAAATATGATGAGATACAGGCGTGAATATCCAATAGGTGCCAGGAAATAGTTGAGTGGATACAGTTGGTGTCTCAGGGGATTCCAGTGCTATCACTTCAGGCAGTTTCAACTTCTAGACTAAAAATGTCATAGCAGTAACACTAAGGAAAGATACTTACCCCCTTGGATGCCAAGTCATATTGCTTCTGTGCACTTTCTGGGTGAAAAAGAGCAATAAAAGCTAATTTGGGAAATAATAAGTATAACAAATAAGTTATATACACTGTAGTTATGTAGAGCTGGTAGAATTGCCATATATTGCCATTGACATTAATAGTCACTCCATCTTCTTGCTTCCTCTTTCCTTTGTGTTTCAGAGGAAGCTGTGAACTTCATCAATGCATCTAATTTTTCTAGTAATGCAATGTGAAGGGAAATTC